GACTAGACTTCGGGTTGACATCCAACCCGGCCAGTCCGGTTGTATTGTGCAGCCCATAAACAATGTGTGTATTTTGCAAATAATGAAAATAACATGGAGCTAGCTTGTACAACCATGGCTTGGGAATAAGATATAAGATGTACCCCCCCAGTCCCCAACCCCTAAAGATGGATTTTTTTTCTGTCATGATTATAAGACACTATAAGACATGTCACTATTTTTTAATAATAATTTTTCTTTTTACACTCATTTACCGGTGTACCTTATTAAAAATTCTCTCGAGCTTCTCACTCATTCTTTTTATTTCATAAAATTGAAAACTTAATACTTTTTTAGATGGAATCAATGAATTTTGAGTTTTTTAGTTTTAAAAACTAGTGGAAAGCGATTCCTAAATAGAATGAAATATACTATTCACCGGGTTTTAAATTCTCCAGTAGGATTAGTTACATATTATCGCATGTTCTTACTTCTCTTAATTTTCTACTAATTAAAATACACTAAAACAAAACAAGTATGATGCAGACAACCCAATATAATTATATGAATTTGGTAGTAAAGTAAATACACTAATCAGGTATAGACTCAAGAAACTAGACATCTATCAATGTCCTGACTTTTGACTTTTAATCAAAGGGTGCTGAAAGTAAAGAAGGTTTATTAAGTGGAACTGTGGAAGCCTGGCCTTAGAGGTGCTTATGGATATAGGATGAGACAGGATCGACACATTTTTATATCGTGTGTCATTCTATTTCAAAAGTCATCTTATTTGATTAAAAATTGAGATGGAACTGGAATAAAATTGAGATGTTTCACTGTCCTGATAAAGTGGGCAATGTAATAAAAAAGGCTATATAATAACATTTATTAAAATTTCAAATCTCATGACTTATTAAGTTTAAAATCAAAATAACATGAGCACATAAATAACAATAATTTAAAGTGAATTATTGAATTATATCAATAACAACTATATGTGTATAACTTAAAATATATATACACACACACATATGACATAATATATTATGATAGCAATTACAACTGATCTCTAAACTATAAGAGCAACAATAATAAGCAAATCAGGCACAACATTAAGTTATTATTATTCTTCTTTAGTTGAGACATGTTAAGCTAGAAATACTTCTAAAAGTAAAATAAAAAATATGATATAAATAAATGTTATTAAATAGATAAATATAAAAATAAATTATATTAATGTAATTAATATATTGTAAAGAAAAATATTACCCTATACCGCTTACGTTGTGTCATTAAATTATTAATATAAAACTTATAGTTTTAAATAAGAATTGCACATATTGAAATTATAATTAATATAAGTATAAATTACATTAATATAATTAATACATTTAATGTATATTTTTAAAAAATTATATATATATATATATATATATGATATTCAAACATGACAGAATATTTTGAGAACAATCCCTTATCCCATCCTTTCTTGAATTCCTTTTTTATCTCAATTGTGAAATCATCCCAAAATGATTGAAATAAAATTGGGCCGATCAGAATGGGTATATGTAGACTCATGCATGCACATAAATACACGCAATAGTAGATTAGAATTAAAATCTCTTCCAAGTGAGAAAGGAAGTACTGTCACGAAGACATGCGGCCATTGACAATCATATTGTTATATTTTTTAAAAAATTATATACATACATACATACATAATATATATATGATATTCAGAATAGAATAGAGTATTTTAAGGACAATTCCTTGTCCCATCCTTTCTTGAATTCCTTTCTTATCCCAATTGTTTGGATGAAATCATCCCAAAATAATTGAAATGAAATTGGGCCGATCAGAATGGGTATATGTAGACTCATGCATGCACATAAATACGCGCAATAGTAGATTAGAATTAAAATCTCTTCCAAGTGAGAAAGGAAGTACTGTCACGAAGACATCCGGCCATTGACAATCATATTGTTATATTTTTTAAAAAATTATATACATACATACATACATATATATATATGATATTCAGAATAAAATAGAGTATTTTAAGGACAATTCCTTGTCCCATCCTTTCTTGAATTCCTTTCTTATCCCAATTGTTTGGATGAAATCATCCCAAAATAATTGAAATGAAATTGAGCCAATCGAAATAGGCATATGTAGACTCATGCATGCACATAAATACACGCAATGGTAGATTTGAATTAAAATCTCTTTCAAGTGAGAAAGGAAGTACTGTCACGAAGACATTCCAACCATTGACAATCATATTCTTATTACTTAAAAAAGATCCATAGTTATAGCTAGGATGATAAATTCTGTGGTATATTGACCGGATAAAATGTAAGCTTGGCAATTATATCTAAATAAAATTAATGTAATCGATTTTGTCTTTTGAATAACAGCTCATACTCCTTTCTAACATGTATTATTGTATTTTGACTATTTTCTCTAAACAAGTTATTTATGGATTGAAACAATATTTTCGATTTTGGTCTCTATATTATGTTTTTAAGGCCTTAAAATATTTAGTAATTTATGACCTAAATTTACTTCTTTCTATCAATATTTACCCAGTATAATACAATTATGCACTCGCTAATTAATTGCACACATTTTAAATTATATTGAAAAATAAACTAGATTTGCAAAGTAAAATCCACAGGAGGCAGGCATGCAAATTTTTTTATTTTATCATTAATTAACTCTTATGGTGAACTACCAATAATTATGTATATATATTTCGGATATGGATCATCTCCTCATCTTTTCTTTCATTTTATTTTCCTATTCTCTCATCTCATTCCTATGTTTAGATTAAAAATTCAACGTTTAAGATTTAATTTTAAATCATAATTTGTTTATTTTAATAATAGTTAAACTTTAATTAATCCATATTTTTGAACTCACAGAATCAAATTTTAACAGTTTATATTTTATTATAATATTTTTATAAAACATTAACTCAAATAACACAATAGAGACGGGTTGAGGAAAAGGACAGGACGAAGAGGGGATCCACATTCATGTATTACCTCTTTGTGATGACTTTAATTAAATGTGAACAGCACGGTAAACAGTACACACAGAGATATGAATAACAAGTGTGACTGGGCGTGTTTTTTTTTTTTTTTTTGGGTGTTCAGAGGAAGACAACAAGAGACATTAAGTGGTTGTCTTGTTTCTATAACAGACATATTATAATTGCACGTTTTTTATAATTTCACGGTTTGTGAATTCTTAGCTTGGACTAAAAGAATCTTCACCCTACGGCGCGTTGGTGATTATATTCCATGTCGTTGGAGCACCAATAAATTATATATGGATATAATCATTAACCCATAAAGACATATATAAGGGGACCTCGCCATTAATTCATCACTCAATATCATTGCTCTTAAGCATGCATGGCATATATGGAGAGATTATTAGCTAATTAAGAAGAAGATTAATACTTATAAATTTATTTATTGTATGTGAAATATATTTCAGCAATGTAATTATTTTGCACAGCAACAGAAGTGATTCTGAGGAGGGATGCATTGTCCTATTTTATAGCCAATCAGTTTGCAATAATCACTGCACACTGGAAATTGTTGACATGTTCCTGGGCAATATTGCACGCCCTCTCCTGCATTTTAATTTTCACCCCGCCAACAAACTATTAATTAAACATGCACACATACATACATATAAATATGGATTATCTCAAACTCTTGCATATTATATTAATTATAAACAGTTGTATGTACACATCATACCAGGTGAGAGCAGGAGCACCATCACTATGGTTGCAAGCATCATTTTGTTGAAAATGGTTGACAAATGAGGGTACGCCATTTTAGGTTGTGAATCGAACTTCTAATGCAAACACTCAATTGGTCTCTCTAGCTACTCTCTATTTATCTACCTACGTATATATAAATACTTCACGTATGCATTTTGTGAATATTCTACTACTTTAGTTAATGTCACAGATTTGGTAAGCTTTTTCTACCACTAATTAATTAATTTTCTATATCTGCACACAGATCTTTTTCACTTTATCAATATGCAATGGACATAGTTGAGATAAAGGGGTTATTTTCTAGAAAGAGCGGTTGAATATTAAGGTATCTTATAATATTTATATATATATTTCAAGATTTTTGTGTCTTTAATTTGTATTTATTTTATAGATTCACTTAATTAGATGGGCCCAAAAATAGCACAAGCCTTCCACTTTAAAATAAGACGTTGTGGATTCTATTTCTATCTCCCGTGAACCTAAAATGGGCGGGGATTAGATTAGATGGGTGTTGGGGTTAGTTAATTAGCAGTGCTGAATGTTGGGGTAGCGTGTTAAATATGTGTGGAACATCATTCCCTGTATGGAAGGGCTAAACTGGTTAGAAAAATTCCAAAAAAAAAAAAAAAAACGGGGTGGGCCTTCATGCATACCGATCTTGAGAGCGATTAGCTTATGACCCTTAAGAGTCGTGTCGTGTGATGATTGCTTTATGGCCCCACCGCACAATACAACAAATTACTTATTTGGCAAAAGTATCACCAGATCGTAAGAGTTGTGTGACATCTTATTTGTCCGTACTGGTCTAAAAATGTTTCGTGCTAAAAAGTTGGATATAATATAGTGTATTAAAAACATATGAAAAACTAAAGTAGAGGCTCAATAATGATCTTCTAGTTGAATGACATGCAAAGCTCTATTATAAATGAAAAATTAAGGATTTGATTCTGTTTGTAGTCCCACGATATTAGAGATTGTCTCTTTAAATCAATATATTACTAAAAACTAAAATACCTCTTATAAATAGTAATGGCTCAGTTTTGGGCTCCGTGAGTCACATTTCAACTAGTTGTACGTTTTATAGGCTTGAAACTTGAAAGGGACTAAAGGGCCTTTCTCTTTAAGTAAAGCCTGTTTAAAAAATTATGACAATGACATATGCTTCATCCTTCTTCTCTTCCCAAAAAAAAAAAAAAAAACTAAACACTCCTTTAACAGAGTTTTACATTAATTCGGCTCCAATCTTCTTCCTTCCTTACTTTCATGGTGTGCTTTCATTCGACTCCCTCCTTTCCCATTCATCTTCGTCTTATCTAGCCATCAAAACCTTTCTGCTTTGTTCAAAATCAGAATGGTCAAAGCCACCACCGGCTTTCACATTCGTGGTTACTTTATCTGTGAAAGCCATCACTGGCTTCTCTACCTAAATCTTTCCATCGTTCTTCCGCCTCAAAGCTTCGTAGATCTCTTCTCTTTGAAGCTTCGTCCTTCAATTTGTGTCCAGCGTTTGTAGATCTATGCATAAAGGATAATCCAAGAAGTTGAATGCCTCCTCAAGTCCAACCCTGTCAAGGATCTCACTTCCCTTACCTCCATGCTTGCTGACGTCATCTTAGCTGATGGTAGACCCAACGGTTACCCTCTCTTGAATATTGCCAACGGTCTCTGGTACGTTCAAACTCTTAATACTCAAGCCCTTTTTTTATTTTCTTAGTATCTCTTCCTCAATTCATGTGATTGTAAAGGGTTACAATCAATGGATTAGAGGGATTTAAGATTCTGATGTTGAAGATTATTTTTTGAACTGTCATAGGAAATGTTGTTGACTTGATTGTCATATAGAAACTTCTGAGGTATGTCTCTCTTGTAGCTGTGTTGTCTACCTCCTTACTTATTGTTGCTATTTCGTATCACGACATCCATCATCCAGTTTTCCCATCTAACTCAGAGCTATCATTGTGTATGGGTGTGAGTGTTCACTGTTTGGATTTTGGATTCTACTTTGTTGTTCAAGCTTTGTTTTGGCATGTCAAACTTCATATATGTGTTCTACTTATGAAAGTTTTTTTTTTTTTTTTTGCGTTTTATTGAATATGAGCTTTGTCTTTCTTCATTCAAGGTTGAATGGGGCTGAGAATAGCTTTACCATAAATTATTCTATTAAGGTTTGTAAATCATCAGTTTAACTTTTTGTTCTTTTGAATATGAAAATTTAATGGATTTACTTTTTAGTTTTAGTGTTGCCGACCCCTAAGGCTTGATGTACATTTCAGTTTTAGTGTAGGAATTGGTGGGCTACATATAACTACAAATGGATAATCAACAAATGACTCTTTTACCCAGTGAGAAATTCACATAGAGAAATGAAAACTTCTCTAGGTTGAACTTAGGCAAGTTTTACTTCAAGACTTTCATTATGGGCAATTATCCATGGTATTTCCCTTGGTTGGAATTTACCAAATACTTATCTCCTCTTTGAAATAAATAGCATTTGTGATTTTAATATGATTTTCTTTGGGCTAGCTATCAGGAGAATTCTTAAATATCCTAAAGGGAACAATGTGGATTGCTTGTCTTTATAAGAGTTGGATGGTTGGCTATGTACTATAAACGGCTAGCTGTCAGTAGAATTATTAATAACACTTGAAATTTTGGTCTGCTTTTATATATAATGTTCAAAGTTTTGCTGTTGATTTTGTACTTTTGCTATCAAGCAATCCTTTTCTTAAACGACTTTTATTGCTCCATGCAGGTGCAATGACAATTAAAGGAATGCTCTATAATGAACTCCTACTTTTCTTACAATTGCATTAAAAAGATGTCGGGTATGAGAAAGTTTGCAAAAACTTTATTCCTAATAGTTGCTTAATTGTTGATAAATTAGTAGCATTTGCTTACAGGGAGAAACTACTCCTACCTAATCCTTCTTAACTCATGTGACTTTAGCTGTATAAATTTAAATTATTAGCATTCCCATGGTTTGTTTTGATTGGTAACCTAACTAGGCAAATTGTTGGAATGCAAATCAACTTTTCTTTAATGAAAAGCTATATATATGAGGTTGGATTTGTTAAGAATGAATGATACTATGAGCGCTCTTTTAACTGAACACATACTTATGGTCTATTGCCATCTAATAGTCCAAGTTTTATTTAGTGTGATTATATACTTTCTACTGTCAATTAAACTGCTTCTCAATTATGTTAATATAGAATTAGACATATTGTGTAGGTAAATTTGAAATTGATAGAGTAATGATGATACAATTAGGTAACTCTTTTTCCACTGTTATTAGTGATAAATTAATAATGGACAGTGCATGTTTTTGAAATTGTTCAGGAGAGATAGGGAAAATATAGAGAATCAGGTTTGGATTAGTCTAATAAAATGATTTATTTCTGTATCTGATTTTCATATTTTCTTGTAAATCATAATTTAGGCTGAAAATAAATCTTTTCTAAACATTTTACCTTTAGGTTGAGTATTCTATTTTTTTTTGGTGTGATTATTAGTCCATTAAATTAAATAACATGATCTCATAATTTTGTTACTTAAAGTTATAAGAAAAGATTTAGTCTTTATTAAAGAACATGATCTCAAAATCGAAGGCTTTCATTCTTTTTTAAATACAGTGTAGTCTTTGTTCGAACTTATCTCTCCAGTTGGTACGAACATGACATGTTAAGATTTGAATCTAAAAGTAAAAAAAAATTACTGGAATTAAATAAATCTTAGCATTCGACACCGTCTTACCTATTAAAAAGAAATGGCTGGCAAATGTAAAGGGCCCCACCCTATGCTTACTTTTAACTATATTGCATTGAATGAAGTAGGCACTTTTTTTCTGAGCATTTTCAGAATAAGCTAAAAGGGTGGGCTCTGACTAGATTCAGAAGAAGCGAGAAAGCACCGAGCCTTTTATGTTGTATTTTTTTTTTTTGGGCATCCATAAAAGCTGATTGTAAAAGAGGAGAGCTTTAACTAGATTCAGATGAAAGAACCTAGATTTTCACATTGTATTTTCTTTGGCATTTGTGAACGTTGATTATAACTTCTGTTGTGTACTTTAGTCCTTACATTGTCTATTTCCCCTTATTTTTTCATGCAAGTCTATAAACTATTAGGTGAAAGAGTTTTGTATCATTTATACTGTAGATTGTCTATTTCCTGGGTCACTTTTTTCATATAATGACGTTTTGTCAACATAAGGGATCTCATGTATGAATTTTTATTAATAGCATTTTCGGTCATATGCCCTCTATACACGCACATCTTATTCTTTATATATGATAAAAGAGAGAAGTCTCTGTCACAGAATTCATATGCACTCATTAATACCGATGGGGGTGCTTAGTCTCAAGTCTCTAACATATCAGGGTATAGAGCAAAAGTGATTTGACAGCACATGAATTTTGAATTTACCTCTAATTGGCTGAAAAGGAAAAGACGTCATTGTGGATCTGGCTTGATCAAAAGCCACATTATACAGGTTCAAAAGTTGAAAATGGCAAGACTTCCTATAGTCTAGGCAGACAATCATATTTTACCATAAGAAGATCATAAGGACACATATGCATCAATCATATGACTTTTGCTCGCAATTGCTTTCACGTGATGCCTTTAGCCCTTCAAGTAAGAGGAAAAGGACAATGTTTATTTAGTTGATTGGCTAAGGTTGAGAAAAGGACAATGTTTATTTAGTTGATAGACTGAGGCTGGGAAAATGACAATGCATTAGTAAGGTAAAGAGAGACATCGATGGTTAATTGCAAGTTGGATTGTGTATACATAATAGAGGAAGTTAACTCTGTTTACCCACTGAACAAAGCAACAGGTTATTCAATCCATATGTGGTGAATGGTTGAGGAAAAAAACCTAAAATAAATTTATATAGTATAATTGACATTGAAATTAATTCTAATTTATTATCATTTGAATTTGATTGATGATAATATTTATAATAAATTATGATATTAAATGGAAGTAGGCACAGAAACAAATCTTGATAATACTATTTTTTTTAAAAAAAGAGATCAAACATAAAACCTTGTAGATAAATTTCTTCTGCAAGGGCTTAATTATATAGTTCATATTTCTTATTCTTGTTTACACGCAACCGCACAAAATGCCTACTTTTCTTCATGTTCATGGAAGTGTGGGTTGAAGTTAGATATATATCATGTTACCTTTGATTAACCCCCACTTTTTAGCACAAAAGTGGTGGATGATGATAGGAAGGTTTCCGAGAGACTTATATTAACTTGTAATCTGTGTATGATTTAGTACTATTTTTTCAGTAAAAAACAAAGGCAGATGTATATATATTTTCCCAACACACAAGGTTAAGTTGAAAAGGGTTAGTTTATACTTTATAGGCCCAGTGTGCGCATATACAAGTATAGTCCATCACTATACTTGTGATTTGTTTTTAGTATGGTGAGTTTTGAAAATATGTTAATATTTATACACCAAAGTGGAAGTGAATGTTAACCCTCGATTGTGTAAACTAGGAATGCCTCTTTTTTGACAGTAAACTTGCTAAATATAGAATCATCTCTTTTCTTAGATAAAACACTAACTATGATGTTTGTGGTATTTGTGTCAATATTAGGTGTATGTGCAGTTTCACTTTACGTTTAAATTCTTGCAAATGCGGCCCTAACCATAATGGTACGTTTACAATATCAATGAACATTTTAAACCCTATTCACTCCCCACAAAAAAAAAAAAAAATTCAATCCTCCATGAAGCTAAGTTGTTACTAGCAAATATAAAAAAGATCACATTTTTTCAGCACAAATAAAAAACTTCACATTAAAATCACTTTTCATTGTGGCATAAAATTGTGTAATTGGCTAGTAGTTCCTACTTTCTAATAAATTCTTTCTTACTGTTCTTAAAATAGGGTAAAGATGTGGTGGTTAATTTTTTTTTTCCTAATGTAACTTGTCCTTAATTGTAAAATTGGAAAATAACAATTTTTTTACAAATTTAAAGTATCAATTGTCACGTATTAAAAACACTTGAAATTAGTTAATGTTGTTACATGAGTATGATAAAAATAAAAGGTTCTTAAATTATAAAGTGAAGGCATTATATTTAAATTTAAAATATAAATCCAATATAGATGAAGACATTATATCTTAAATAAAAAAATTATAAACTATAATATCATAAAAAGATGCCTAACAATTTTAATTTATTTGCATGACAGATGAAAAAAAAAAGCAAATCCTTCAATCAATAAATTATTATAAAAATTAATCATTGTATTTGATCAATATTTATGCATAATGTTCCCATCCATTTCATGAGGAAGTAAAAGCATGATATGTGGCATTATCAAGGATAAAAAGCATAGACGGACTATAGATTTTGTTACATGATCATGAAAATATTGGTAGAATAATATAAAATGTGGTGTTTAATTCAATATAATTTTTGCTTCCCTTGTATCGCATAGGGTAATAAAAGCTAGTTAAAAAAAAAAAAAAAAGACAAGCAAAGACCAAATGAGCATTCTATATTTAGGGAGGAAAAACAAAAATGAAAACGACATCAACTCGTCACCTGACTGACATCAAAACTCAAACTATATCATAATCCCTGGTTAAGTGAAATACGCGAGCTAACGAGTTACTTGATTTTATCGCAAAACCTCAAGCATGAGCGAAACTTCCTAGTAATTTTCTTAATGGAAATACCTTTCTTGATGAAAAAAACTTTCTTAATGAATCCGAGCCTTCTAGAAGGAGCAAGACGCACTGGTTCAGTCACTGGTGGTCGGGTTGATGGTTTTGGTCCTGTCACGGGGCGGGAAGATGACGATGATGTGGAAGAACTTGTCACATGCGAGTCATGTCGGTGGAAGGAGCCCCTCCATTCATGGCCGTGACCATGCAAGGGATGAGGAAGATGATGATTAGGTCCATGGTAATTGCGAGGATTGTTCAGAAACAGGTGACTAAGGTTGTTGTTAGCATGCCAAGGGTTGTATCCACGTGAATGGTAATTATAAAGATCATCGGCATAATGATAATAAGGATCATAAAGAGGGCCCATTTTTGGAAGTGATGAAGCATGGGGAGGGTTATTATGATTATTATCATCTCCTTGAGAACCAAAAGTGATCCTCTTGAGGTCTGCATGTTTCCCACCTTTCTTTAGCTTCTTCAAAATTTGGTATCTATCTGTCTTGCCTTTCACGTAAGCATATCCCAACGTTGGATTTATGTCGAAGACAGGGTCTGCAAAAATTAAAATAAAAGCCTCACGAATTTTAGAGAGAATCTAAGCCGATCATTCAAGTCTGTGAATATTTTGCATTATATGCCCTCTTATTAACATATAAGGATCGAATATTTTTCAGATTCTTCCACCTATTTATGATACTGATCATAAAATTAAAATATCAGTTTACAGCACAAATACGAGGTCACATGAACACAAGTTAACTGCTCACCTATAATGGTGAGGACCAAAATGCATTAATAATATTGTCTATATAAAATGGATTTCGGAATGTTTGAAATACTCATGTCTGAATTAACGATCTGATTAACAAAAAAAATTATAGTCCAAAACTTTGATAAGTTAGGGACAAGAGGTGGATAGACGAGGAAATACCTTCAAAGCTGCTCAAAATCTTAGTCAGGGATTTTTCCCAGCCATCTCCAGTATTAATTTCAAAGAAACACTCCTGAAAAGAAAAAAGATGAATCAAAACACCGTGATTATAGCTTCATGAAATCAAACAGATGAAATCAAATCAAATCAATGCAGATCAAGAACACATAAAAACATTGTTGGTAAATTCAGAAAGAAAGAAAAAGAGTGGGAGGGCAAAGCTTAAGAAAGAAGACCGTAGTTTCAGAGGACATGGTTGGCGAAGAAGAGAAAAATTTTTGTCCGAGACGGTGTGAGTGTTTTAAAGCTTAAATTTAAACATGGCGATAGAATGGAGAAGAATATCAATCTTTTAATCAATCATTAATGCGCCCATTCTTTTGGCATATTTGTTGACTTTCCAAAACCACAGAAAAATTTTTATAATATGGAAATCCATAATCGATATCCGCTTGGGATCTTCAGATGATGTGCATTATCAATTTCTACGAACAGTAAATGACCAGTGCACTACCAAAAATGCCCCCGACTATTTCACTGACAGTGCTCTCCTGCTGCTTAGGCCTCTGATGCCGTCAGATGATCCCATTTTCTTCTTCTCCACGTCTTCACCGTCTTCAGCGTTCCCATTTGCTTTATCATTGTTTGATTCCCCAATCTTGGTCCTCGAGCTTCCGCGCTTAGTAAGTGCCCCGGCTGTCTAACCGCTCTTGGGTCCGTTCTCACTTCGTCTGCCGTTGTTTACTCATTCGGCTGTGCTTTAACTCGATGAGGCGCCGAGAGTGAGAGGAAGTCGTCACTAAGAGAATGGAGAGGGCGGACCATGGTGTGGGAGCTGATTGTTTCGATCTTGGTGGTGTCGAGTAGGTCAGAGAGCGAAACCGGAGGAAGAAAGGTGTGGGTGATATTTGTTTATTTCTTTTTTGCATTCTTATCTTTTGACTGCATCTGATTAGTATTGTGGATTTCACATCTTGTATTGAATATCCTTCAAACTCTCACTGCTTCTTTTCTTGTACCGGAAGAAGCTTCTTCCTCTTCTTTTTTTTTTTTTTTTCTCGTAAAATAACAACTGGTGGTGTTATATCCTTATGCATCTTTTTAGTTCATATTCAGTGTTTAAAATAAGTTGTTTTTCTTAACAATAGGAGGAAGTAAGATCAATTGGTCAGCTCCGTAACCAAATCGAAAACTTCACCCCTGTCACCGCCGCACGCCCCGACCTTGCTTATACGATGAAAAGTACCGCCAACATTTATCCTCGCCATGTTCTTTAGCCATGTAAATTTTTCTCCCCAAACTAATTTTTTTTTTTTTAAATCGTGGCCTTCTGCGTTGAGATATTGCATGCTCTATAATTTGTGTCCTTCGTATGCTTTGTAATATGCATGCCCCATTGGTGTCTGCTAAAATGCTTGTGAGAATTTTTTTGGTTTAGGTGGTTATATTTCCTGGGTATAAGTATTTAACCATGCTGTCTAATTTAAATTTGCATCCTGTAGGCAAAAATTTAAAATAAAAGCCTCATGAATTTTGGAGAGAATCTAAGCCGATAATTCAGATCTGCGAATATTTTACATTACATGCCCTCTTATTAACATATAAGGATTGGATATTTTCCACATTCTTCCATCTCTTTATGATATTGATCATAAAAATTAAAACATCATTTTATAGCATAAATATGAGGTCACAAGAACACAAGTTAACTGCTCACCTATAATAGTGATGGCCAAAATATATATGTTGTCTATATAAAATTGATTTCGAAATGTTTGAAATCCTCATGCTTGAATCAACGATCTAATTAACAAAGAAACTAAAGTTCAAAACTTTGATAGGTTAGGACAAGATAAGAGGTGGATAATAGAGGAAATACCTTAAAAGCCGCTCAAAATCTTAGTCAGAGATTTTTCCCAGCCATCTTTAATATTAATTTCAAAGAAATACTCCTAAAAAGAAAAAAAGATGAATCAAAACATAGTGATTTTAGCTTTATGAAATCAAACAGATTAAATGAAATCAAATCAATGTAGATCAAGAACACATAAAAATATTATTGGTAAATGTAGAAAGAAGGGAAAAAAGTGGAAGGGCAAAGTTTAAGAAAGAAGAACGCATGGTTGGCAAAGAAGAGAAAAATGTTTTTTTTTTTGGCAGTGCGAGGGTTTTAAAGCTTAAATTTAAATTTCAATCATTAATGCATCCATTCATCACTTTGCATATTTATTGACTTTTTAAACACGGGAAAATTTTTGTGATATAAAAATTAAATATTAAATTGTCTTTAATTATTTGATTAGTAGGGTTTATATATATAACAGCTATAGTCCCAACCCAAAATTTTCAATGGGCTTTATTTTTGATGGGCCCAATTCTCTCTCTCCATGTATATATAAATATTTATTTTCTAAGATGCATCTCCCAACATCCAGCACAACATTTTATGCCTATGGCAACAGGCATTGTTTCTTGTTGGGTGAAAAACCGTTGCCTATTTGTATAGGCAACGGTTTTCAACCATGATCCAAGTGGCTGCTACCTAAAATTTAAGGCAATAATCTTTTAGAACTTTAGGCAAAGAAGGAAAAACCATTGCCTATTGTTGGCATACAGGCAACAGTTTTGAAGTCTAGAAATAGGCAATAGTTAGTGCCTGTTGTTGCTTTATGGCAACGGTTTTCTCATGCTACCTTTAACTTCTATGGCAACATTTTCTAGCATATAACAGAGTTCTCAGACAAAAATTTGATTTCTCATAATTTCAATAATATTGATAATACTGACAACATCAACATACAATACAATAAAATCGTGTCCTCATAACAGTCTTAACCATAGTGTTCAAGTACTAATAAAAGATTAAACTTCCAAAATACATTACAACCAATAACATCAATCTATAAATCATAATAATATCCTCCTCTGGTTGTGAGAGCGAGAACCTGCTTGTTTTCAAATCAGGCCTTAGATAGTTTATCCATCTCAAGCTACAACTCTTTCCACACCTTTTAAATCCCTCAGCTAAGAGAATATTGAAATAAGAGAATAGGAAACCTAGTCCAGTAGCATGGCCTTGAGGTAAGAGGCCAAATGAGAGAATAAAGTAAATTATACATTAAGAGTTTCTAAAGAAGTTAATGGGAGAATTAGAACTTAGAACAATGCTTTCAGACCTCGTCAAAGAAAACATAGACAGTAAGGATCGGGCTTTGTGTTAACGAGCTATAAGGTAACTTTAATGAGTAGCAGCAAGATCAGATCATCCAAGCTTGCCAACACTGTAAGAAAGAAAAAGGCAGGGTAAACTTCAAAAGAGATGGGAAAGGAGGGTTCTACTAATAATAAGATAAAAAAGTTAGTCATAGCAATTATCAGATACCTATCTTACCATCCATATCATAGGCCATGGCTGACCCATATGCAATTGACACACTTAAAATAATTCTACTGTTTAAACTTACTTCCTGAAATATTTGCCAAAAACCCCAAGCAAATTCCCATTGCTTTGCAGAAATTGAGAACTATATATATATGGAAGGCCAAAATGAAAATTGCATTACTGCTTTAGCTTAAAATATATGGAGGACCAAAATAAATGCGTCCTAAATAGATTAGTTTTTGTTTTATAAAAAAACAAATACAACAAAAAGACAACTAATGCATTCTATGTGATGCAAAATTCAAGAAGAGGCCTTGATTTTTTCAATCACAGGTAGGAATCCTCTTGGACTTGATTAAAGTGGAAGAGTCCCGCACAGTCCAATTCTTTCACTTTTTGCTGATCAGGGAATTCAAAAGCAATGTTTATGGCTCTTTTGCAAATTGAAAACCTCTACTGTGCCCATGGATCTATCAAATCATGTTATCCTTCTACTAAACAAGACATAATATTTTGCAAATGGCCCTATTCATTTATTAATAACAAAAGTTTATGAGCATTACTCAAACCAATGAGGATGCTTTACCTTTACCGAAGAAGAATTTTGAAAATTTCAAAATTATTAATTTTGAGGTTAAAATCACATCCATAATTGAAATCTTACACTACAGTGCTGAACTAAAGCATAGAGAATAACAAAGTTTTGCATTTATTTTAAGCATAATCTTTGTTTTTATTCCGAAGACTTGATTTCTTGTCTAATTTCTCATTTTTATTAATAAAGTAACTTGTAAGATGTTACATAACTATATATATATATATTTAAAAGTTTTAAGATTAATTAATTACAAATTTCTTGAAAATATAAAACAACTTGATCTTAGCCTTTAAAAATTTTCAATCAACCCGCCAATCCACTTTACTGATAAATAGGTTGGATTGGAAGTTAAAACTTAAAAGGCAGTGGGAAGATTGGATACACATGTGAGTAAAGGAGATTTTAGTGAATAAAAAATGGTGGCAATATGCGTTGAGCGAAAAAGAAGCAGCATGTGATGAATTTGGAACTCTCTCACATCTCAATCCCACCCAGAAAAAATGTTTTATAATGGGATTGGTAGGGCTTCCCCATTATTTTACTCTCCTACTCACTCCAAATCCCACATGTTTTGTTTTATTCCCCTTTCCAACCCTCCTCACTGCTGTTGGTTCGGGCATTACTTTATCCATAGTATGTGCAAATTCCCATTAACCACCATAAATTCCAACCCAAACAAGCTTCTATCTCAGTTTAATGATTACTTAAAAGCTTCAAAACTAATGCCAGTTTTTAACATAAAATGAGGGATTGCTAAATATTAAAAAAAGATTAGGCAGTCAGATTAAAACAAAATGCAAGCTGTATGGAAAAATGATGATTTTTCATATCAATAGATTACATGGGAAGGGGAATTAGATGACCCTTTCAAGGCAACAAGTTCAATAGGTCATTTTCCACAATTCAGAAGCCAAAATAACAAGCTCATCAATATTAAGTAAAAGGATCAATAAATTTCACTTAATTGGTTACCTTGTTAAGTTGCTTTCACTAAGATGCTTCCTGAGGCATTACATGCCGTGAAGTTCACCAGTTACCCAATATTGAAGTGAGGAATCAGAGTTTCACTTGATTGGTTACCTTGTTAAGTTGCTTTCACTAAGATGCTTCCTGCGGCATTACATGCCGTGAAGTTCACCAGTTACCCAGAACTCCAACTAAAGTGAAACTCTGATTCCTCACTTCAATATTGGCCAAACAGAGAAGCTTATAGTCTTTGACTTAAACTTTGCTGGCGTATAGTGACTACAGAGTAAAGAATCACCGGACATCAAATTAAAGGCAATATACTCAACTAACATAAATGGAGATCGTCATGAATTTTACTAGAATGGATGGAGTGGTTCTTGAAAATGATTTCTCTTTTTCCCCCTAATCACGACTCAAATATACTTTAATATAAAAGCCTTCTTCTAAAAGTTTAATCATGTTTGATACATCCTTAATTAATTTAATCTATTCAAAACTATATTTTTTGTATAAAACAGCAAAAACTCATTGCAGTTTAAATGAACACACCAATACCCTGTAGCCAACATACTGGAATATTTAACTCCGCTTCTTCGAAGGACCTAAGATCGATAAGTTAACTGTTTAAAACAATTAAATAGATTATCAAGAATTTTCAGGATAAAGCCGTAATTTGAAATGCATCTCAATTTCTACCTTGTCTAGGCGGTTGCCCACAATAAATTGAACATCAATATCCAGCTGTAAATAAAAACTAAAGAAGAGACTGAAACTTACACGCACATGGGCATAGTGCTGACAAAGCAAAGGAAGGAGGAGAGGAGCTTAAAAACAGACACTGCAACCACAGCATTGTGAATGAAAAACATATATGCGAGCACGTACCGGCAACGAGCCAACAGAAGAACGAAGAATTGAGAGGGCACTAGCACCAACTCACGACAGAGAAAGATAGAAGGGGAAGAAGATATTTGGCAAAGGGAAAGCACTACGTAGTCGCGACTCGTGAGATTGAGAGACGTAAACGGGAGAGGGGAGAAGGGTAGGGTTGAGACTTAGAAGGGAAGGGGAAATGAATTGAGAATGGGAACACACGAACAAAAGGATTTAAGTAAACATATAAACAATAAAAACATTTTTTATTTGTTGGCAGACCAAAAATTTCATAGGCAAAATTTATCTTATGTTGTGTATTTAAAAATAGCTTGCAACAGGTATAAAAAAAATTATCAAATTAAAAATAACTTGTAAAAAGTATAAAAATGTTGCCTATTTCATAATACTTACAAAAGTGTTGCCTATTGTAAGAATAGGCAACAATTTTTTGTCCGTTGCTAAGTTAACTGTTGCCGTGGCCTTAAAATGTTGTATTGACTTTTTTTTTTCCTATAAAAAAGGAAGATACGCTTCTTTTAATCTTTACACACATACACTAATATATCACTTGCAATTTTAAGTAGGCAATGGAAGGGCTTGATGCCACTGTGCCATATAGGCATTATATAATCTCTCTCTATTTATATGTATAATAATTTATATGATTTTATAAAACTTGAGATTATTGAAAATGATGTGTGTGTGAGGCAACTACTTTCTGCTATTAAGTATTTTCTCCCTGGCTTTCTAGCCAAGCTATCTGCAATGTTCATTGCGTTCTTCCTCATTCTCTTCTAATTAGCCATGAAGTTTATTTTCTTAATCTCCTCCTAGCTTCACAGCATACGGACGTGAGCTCTCCTCATAGTTTTGTCACACAATAATTTACGTAGCTTATGTCCCCCTAGTATAGAAGAGAGGAAAAAGAACCCAAGACTACTTTCGGAGATACGTATTGAACGATCTCTTTGAATTTTTCCTTTGATTTAATAATAATTCATAGTTTCCTCATACTAGCTTCATTCATGATCATTCTCACCCAATGATTTTTTTTTAACCAACATCAATAACAATATTTCAGTATTCCATTACAAAATAATGGTTAACCAATTAGTTCCGTTTTGGTCTAAAAAAGTTCCATGCTCAAAATTTTTATACAATATAGCATATAAAAAACATATTAAAACCAAAGTAGAGATTCAATAATGATGTTATTAACTAGCATGCAAAGCTCTCTTATAAATGAAAAATTGAGGGTTTAATCCTTCTTGTAATCCCGGGATATTAAGGATTGTCTCTCTAGATTAAAAAGAAAAAAAGAAAAAGACAAGCAAAGACCAATTGATAAAAAAAAATATCATAATAAATTATAAAGTTCTATACAATAGCCAATAGCTAAATATTTTCCAAATGAGCATTTTATATTTGGCAAGGAAAAACAAAAATGAAAATTAACTGCATTATCTGAAAAATGAAGTTTATTATATGCCCTCTTATTAACATATAAGGATTGAAAATTTTTCAGATTCTTCCACCTATTTATGATATTGATCATAAAAATTAAAACATCAGTTTATAGCATAAATATGAGGTCACGGGAACACAGATTAACTGCTCACCTATAATAGCAAGGACTAAAGTATATTAATTATATTGTCTATATAAAATTGGTTTCGGAATGTTTGAAATCCTCATGTCTGAATTAACGATTTGATTAACTAAGAAAACTAAAGTTTGAAACTTTAATAGTTAGGACAAGACAAGAGGTGGATAGAAGAGAAAATACCTTCAAAGCTGTTCAAAATCTTAATCAGAGATTTTTCCCAGCCATCTCCAGTATTAATTTCAAAGAAATACTCCTAAAAAGAAAAAAGATGAATCAAAACACAGTGATTATAGCTTCATGAAATTAAACAGATTAAATCAAATCAAATCAATGCAGATCAAGAACACATAAAAACATTGTTGGTAAATTCAGAAAGAAGGAAAAAGAGCGGGAGGGCAAAGTTTAAGAAAGAAGACCGTATTTTCAGAAGACATGGTTGGCTAGGAAGAGAAAAATATTTGTCTGAGGCGGTGTGAGGATTTTAGAGCTTAAATTTAAATTTGACGACGGAATGGAGAAGAATCTCAATTTTTCAATCAATATTAAATTAAACATTACACATATTTATTGACTTTCCAAAAACACAAGCAATTTTTTGTGATATGGAATTTAAACATTAAATTATATTTAATTATTTGATTAGTAAGGTTTATATATATACCAGCTATAGCCCCAACCCAAAATATATATCAGTCATCAACAATTAACATATCATTTGCTGAAAGGAAATAATGCTCGCTCGATCTTCCAGATTTCCTTCTAGCTAGCTTCTTCTTCTTCTTTTTTTTTTTACCTAAAAAGAATCAGGTATTGGATCCCAATCTAAACAAATTAGTTAATTACGTATACACAGAGTCATTCCTTGCTTAAACTATCAACAGTAAATTATATATACATAAATATTATCTCCTACTTCTCATTCTAATCGATCAATAATTAGCTGATAGATAAATTTTCCCATATATTCAGTGCTTCCTAATTAAAAAAATCAGTCAGTCCTCAAAAGAATTGTAACTCGTTTTTTTCTAGGTAGAACTAGACGAGGAGTTAAAATTATAGCATCCTAATAACTGTAGGGATAAAACATGAACTAGGTCAATTAAAACACATTAATTTGCGAGTGGCAGTCAGATAAAATTAGAAGCACTAACTAAATAAAGCTCTACAGTGCTCGTGTATTTTTAAATCAAACGCTTTCTTTTTTAAAAAAAGAAATAAGACTGCGTTATACTGTGCACAGAAGCGGAAATGAGAACTCCCATGAATGAATGAATGAGATTGGCATTGACACATGACATCCTTAAATTTGGTCGTCTTGTCGCGATGCCAACCTAACTCACCCGCCTGGGGTGGTTATTAATCCCAAGAATTTGCCTTCTCGAGATCTACAGAGACCATTTACACTGTTATTTACTCCTCCCAACTGCCCCTCCACCCTCTTTTCAACTCCTCAGTTATATATAAGACACCAGAGACGATCCCTTTGCATGCAAATCACCCTTCAAATCTCTCTCAGTGAAAGTAGCGAAGGAGCTAGCTATCTCTGGAAATGGCAAAACGGTGTTCTTCCCTCCAAATTACGATCCTTCTTTTACCATTCATACTACATGCAAGTGCACGTAAGGTACCTGGCGATACGAGCCATGACAATGACACCAAGAATCATGGGAAAGAGCAGACTCTGGTGCATGCAAGTGCACCTGCGGCTGCTGAGTCCCCTATGGCCACTGGTGTTGCTGACAAGAAGCACTTCATCGTCGGCGGAGTCGGTGGATTCGCGGGGATGGGAGGTTTTGCTGGTGTCGGGGGAATCTTCCCCAAGTTTGGCGTCGGAGGTGGCCTCGGCAAGTTCGGTGGTATTGGTGGGTTCGCCGGAATTGGTGGCCACAAGGGTTTCGGTGGTGGTATAGGTGGCCTGGGTGGTGGTGCTGGAGGCCTTGGTGGACTTGGAGGCGGCGCCGGAGGCTTGGGTGGAGTTGGTGGCGGTGCCGGAGGCTTGGGTGGTGCTGGTGGAGGCGGTGCTGGAGGCTTAGGTGGAGCTGGTGGTGGTTGTGGAGGTGGAGGAGTTGGGGGTGTGGGTGGGGTCGGCGGTGCGGGTGCTGGTGGTGGCTTAGGTGGCGGCGGCTACCATCCTTATCACCCGATGCATCCTTAGTTAAGATGGTTTCCATATCTACATATTTTTACACCTTGGTGGTGGGTTTGTGGGGTTAGCATCTGAACTGTGGTTAATGGTTAGGGTTTTGGGTTTTACATTTGCCATGTGATCTTGTTATTTTCATCTCCGAGCATTGATGTGTCCGCTTTGGGGTCTGGTTAGCTTTGTTTTAACGTTTGAATGTCAGATTAAGTGAATGCACTAGCTATAGCTGGCTATATAGTAGTAATTTGAGTTGCCAAATTTCATGTTTCAGACTTTTAGTATAATGCAAGTCTCTGGTCGTTGCTTCAACTTGTTATCGTCAAATTTCAAGTTTCTTAAATAGTAGGTGAGTTGGATTTTGAATGTTCATCAGAATTAGAACATGCTATAGAATTTGAAAAGTAAGTACTTGTAAATTACCTGCCAGAGATGTTCTACTCACATTATAAGCTGAAATATTTAAATTATAACATTTTTAATTTACCAACTGAATTATTCAATTCTCTTCCACCTGTTTACGAACAAACCATTTGATGTGCGAATTAATTTGGATTCAAGGTCAGCACTACAACATATGTTTTATTGCACATATATAATTTCGAAAAAAAAGGTCAAAATAGTTTGAAATAAATAAAACGATATCAGGATGAGTTTCATGAAATCTCGTTTTTAACTTCATTATTAATTTATTCATATTTTTAAGTTTTTTTTTGTGAGCAAGAAAAGTAAAATTCATTGTCAGCACCTTCAAGACCGAGAGAAGAGAGTAATAAAAAAAATTTTCAACTAGATTGCTACATATTCTTTGAACTTTTCATTAAATATATCTATAATTTAATATCTTCTAAGATTTCAGGCAAAATATATATATATATATATATATATATCTTCTAAGATTAGTTTTTTCAATGTTTATTATAAGTATCAATCATCAATATATCTATAAAAAGTTATAAGTTGTTCAGCGCTTTAAACATATGGATGTGTACGTGTGGTTAATCTTGAATTTTGTGTAAATGCATTTGGGTGACTATTTTTTTTTTTTTTAGTTGAACATTATAAGGCATACACATATGATGTATCTTGTGGGCTTGGTGTTGTTATTATTTAATTTTTTATAAAATAAAAGTTTAGATGAGTTAAGTCATAATAAATCATATACCAACAAAATTTTCATGTCGACAGTGAGGTTTAATTCTAAAATTTTGTGAGTTATAAATTAAATCTTTATCAATTATACCAATCTTTGTTAGTGCTGTTATTATTTATTTATTTTAATATAAGGCCACGGTAATGTACAATTCTCAAAAGATTATCAAATAAGGTAATATCAAAATGCTTGTTTGAACCCTTGTAGGTTGAAAGATTTGTACAACAATTAATTTTTTTATAGACATGATTAAAAATAATCTCTCAATTTTTCACGGTGAGAATTCTAATATTTTTAATAATTGCTTGTAGTGGTGTTATTATTTATTTTAAATTTCAAATTGAGATAACAACATTCAGATCTTTTGTAGGGAAGCGGCAAAAGGAAAAGGTCTTTTTCGTGTAAGGGAATTATTAACACCTTAATCGTCCTCTTAAACTCACAAGTCTCTTGGTATTTATAACTACAATACTATAAATATCAACAACTTTTTTTATAGATACGGACCAAAAATTTAAATAAGTGTTACTTAACAATTTTTATATGGCCCACTAGTAAAATTATACAAGCTTATGTTCCCTCCGTCCAAGATAATTTTACAGAAACTAAGGCAGGGAATTAAAAGTAGATTTACTTTACTCATTTAATTTGTGAACAAAGAATTACATTTGTCTACTCTACTATCTCTCAGATGTGATTGCATGCCAGGGTAGATAAAAAAGACAAAAAACAATGCCCTTTGTATTATCGAATGGGGCTTAGAGGAAAGGATTTGTGCTTTGGATTAAAAGTTATATATATGTGTGTGCGGGCGCGCGCATAGAAAATCATAACGTAACCCACAAAATTGAATTAAACGGATTTTTCAAAAATTGGAGGGTGGGGTTAATGGAGGGAATATTCAGGCGGCTGCTAGGAGTTAGGTAAAACTGAAATGCATGCCTATTGCCTCCTGAGTGGGAGAGGCATTTCTATACCTTTTTTCCCCTTCTCTTTTCTCTAGTTTTCAATTACAACTTTTCATTAAATTTATGATTAAAATAATTTTTTAATAAAATAAATTCAATAATCATGATTGAAAAATTGAGAGAAAATGAAAAAAAAAATAATGTAAGAATACTCAAGAATACTCTTTTTTTTATTAAATATCTTATAAATAAGATCAGAATAATAATTCCCTTTCATTGTATATTATTGTAAGCACACAATTTTTCTAATGTCTAGGGCATGGCATGGGTAGAAATAAATGAAATCACTGAGTTGAATAGTTTTTTAACACCAAAAAAATAGTTTGTTTGTTTGTTTTTTTTTTTTCTTTCTTTCTTTCCTTTTTTTTTTTTTTAAGACCAAGACCTTTACTTCACTTGCGGGCTACTAACCTTTTTAACGGATGGGCTAGTTCACACTGCTGCTTTCATTAGAGGCTCAGCTTCTCTGTGTATTTTAAATTTGGATAATGGAAATATTTGATCCCTAAATTATAAATCTAAAAAAATACGTGACTTTAAATTTATTTTTAGTATAAGATTTTCTTTCATCTTTTAAAAATATTTTAATTTGATCCTATTATTAATGAAATTTAAATTTAAATTTAATTAATTGATGATAAAATGATAAAAACAGACATAAAAAATAACAGAACATGACAAAAAATTTACTGTAAGCAACCTAAAAATTACAGATAAATATGAAAGACTTTACATGAAATGACTAAGAAAATTTTATCAATTTTTTTATAATTTTTGAAGTTATAAATTATTATTTTTTAATCAATTAATAATCAGAATTAACTTTTGTCAACAATAAAAGCTAGATTGTACTGTTTGAAAAGTTGAAGGAAACTTTATACTAAAAATAAATTTAAGATCTTAGTCACTTTTAAATTTATAGTTTAATGACCAATTCATTATCTTACCTTCTAAATTTTCAAGTCACCGTTTCAGCATCCAGTCCTCTCAATTTCTGATTGTTGCCGGTGAATAATGGTTACACTAAATTTTAGAGAAGTGGCATTATATTGTCATTAGAAGAATGTGCGGCTCTCCTCCCCCTCCACCTCAAGTAAGACAAATTTTTGGTGAAAGGTGATTTTCACCTTTTTCACTTTATCTAAATAATTATTAAATATTTTAAATTTAATTATAAATCAATCATATTTTTTAATATTAAAAATTTTATCTCTCATCACAAAGCACCTAATATTTAATTATCATTAATAAGTTTTATCATTTTTTAATATTTATTATTATTATTTTATTAAGTTATGGGTCAATTTTTATTTCAAAACTTTTAGCCGAAGAATTAGCAGGGACCCTTGATTCAAATAATAATTCTTAACCTTATTTTCATCCTTCATCTACATTCTAAATTTTAACATGGATGGATTTTATTCTCAACGTTAATTTTTGTGTAGACTGTAGGGCTCATGATTTTACACACTTGGCAAGCCATGTATGCACCTGTCTCACTTTTAAATAATTTTTATAATAAAATATTATACCAGTGGCCCACTACCACTTTTTTGTCCCATTCCTTCTCTCTCCTCTATCTTCTACCCCCTCATCTCTTCCCTCTCTCTCCTCCATTTTCTCTCTCCGTCCCTTCACTCTCTTTCCACCCCACATTCTTCCACCCAAGCTTTCCTTTCCACTACTCCATTCACTCCCCTTCGTTCCATTCACGCCTTCAGATTCAAAACACCCAAATATTTTCCAAATTAACCATGCTCCACTCATGCCCTCAAAAGCACATTCAAGCGAGAGAGAGAGAGAGAGAGAGTGATGGCCGAGCAGTCCCCTACTGAGCCATATGGTTGAGGTTGGTTGGGTCCTTGAACTGATTGAGAGAGAGAGAGAGAGTGTGTGTGTGTGTGATGGCCGATCATGAAGGTCAAGGAGGAAGTGATGGCACAGCAGTCTCCTACTGAGCCATATGGTTGAGGTTGGCTGAGTCCTTGAACTGGTTGATAGAGAGAGAGAGAGAGAGAGAGAGAGAGAGAGTCAGGCGGATGATGGTTGACGACAAGAAAGCCAGAATCGTGACTTTCTCAAAGCGTCGTTCTGCACTGTTCAAGAAAGCCGGCGAGCTTTCTGCGATGTGTGATGCAGAGCTTGCCGTCCCTCCTCTACCCTCCCATCGTCCTTCACTACTGATGCTTGCGTCTGGTCTTCTGTCAAATCGTCTTGTCCTTCAACTTTATCCACTAGTTCCTCGTGGGTCTCAGAAGAAATTGACACTGGTTCACTAGAGAGACTCAGTTTAACTCTACTATGCCTGAAATGGAGCACGTTCTCGTCATAGTAAAAGTGGTGCTGTGGTGCCCCCAAGTTAAACGACATTGCAGCCTTCGGTCTTGCTTGAGATTCGCTGCAAGTGCTCCGCCACCTACGGCAAAAAGACGTTGTGTGTTGCCGAATAGAGAGAGTTGGGGAGGAGAGAGTGGGGGGAGACGGAGGTGGGGGGCTGATTTAAAAAAATATAATAAAAAATATAAAATGAATCCCACGTTACATTTTATTATTTAAAGAATATTAAAAAAAGCCAATTCAAAAAAAAAAGGGTCTACTAATGGAAAATTGATGGCAGGGGTACTGATCCTCAAAATTCTAAGGTTGAGTAAAAAAATTGATCACAGTTAAGTTTAGAATAATCAATGAATTTTAAAGGTTAAAAATAATTTTTAATATTTTTTTATAATAAAAAATATTAAAATAATATAGAAATTCACTAAAGATAAATCGACAATTAAAAAATGACAGCTTGATAAGTGATAATTTTTAATCTTAAAAAAAGAATTAATTATGGGCAAAAATAGGAAAATTTTTATTCAATTCTTATTATTTTTTAATATTGAACACTTATTATTTTATTAATTTGTCGATCTGTTAGCTGGCCAAAAAAAAAATTCGTTGATTTGTTTTTTTGGGCCAAAAAAATTATTAATCTGTTGATTCCACTTAATCTGTGATTCTCCCATTAATTTTAGACCTATACTAAATTCTTTCTAAAATTAATTATAAAATAACCCCGATAAAACCCTTCTCGAGAGTAGCAGTCTAGTTCTCTTCGCCGCCGAACAAGCATTCCACACTACGTCGGACGTCGTCCACCGTTGTCAGCCCTGCGTGGTTGTTCTGGGCAAGCAGTGAAGAAGGTTCGAAGCCTAGGGTCTTTTCTACTCCCAAAATCTGGTGAGATTGATTTGTTAATCTGGCTTTGAATCTAGATTTGAATTTGTTCCCCGCGTCATCTGTTCCCTCCGTGGCTGTTCTTGCTCTGTTTTAACATTTTCATTTTAATTTTGCTTTGAATCTGGTCGTGTAATCTTTGAATATTGACGCTTTTGAATTTGGGTATGTTTACATATCGAGTTTATTTTTTGTACTCGTTTTTGCTTGAATGGTGTGTAATTGGCTATTATACTTCTTCCCTCTTCATTCTGATTACTAGCGACTTGTATGATTCGGATTGTGTTGTTTTGCAATGTTGGATTTATTGTGCATTGGCTATTATACTTCTTCCCTCTTCATTTTGATCGTGCATTGGCCCCCACCAAGTGTAGCATAGGTCCGCGTTTGCGGGGAGGGAACGTTAGAGAGGGATCACAGGTGTGCGAATTTCTAAACAGGAAACTGTCCAAGTAATGGAATGAATGGCGTGAGACACCAGAGTACGAGAAACGAAAACTAGGGATATTTCTAGTTTTCCACAAAGTTTTTTTTTTTAAAAAAAAAAATCGTCTATCTGACTGTGAGAGTGCCATTGACGGTTGATCACACACCTCCCAGACAATTTGGCTCTTTTGTTTTTTAGATGGCTTCTGTGCTTATTTTCCGGATTAAGCTCACTTGCAAACATCAATTGTCATAGCTAGCATCAGGACTCAAAACATTAAAGCCCCAAATTGATATCATATGACTGATATCAATTTATGGGAGCTCCCTGTGATTCTTTAGAATGTCTATTGGACCAAAGGGTGTGCTTATCCTTCCAGTATAAGGATGTCCATTATTTCTAGCACCAATAGTTTTAATTCTCTCCTTTTTGCGATTGCTAGTAAGTTACTTCATGTGGTTCTCTGCTATGTCTGATTCACGAACAAACACGATATCTAAAACGTGCTGGAACACCATGGGATCCCACTCAGACATCAGCATGTTAGAAAGTTTTTAGCTTTGATTACCATAACATATACTTGTTATAATACAATGTTTCGCATATTTCTCAGGTGTTGTCAGATTTGGACAAAAACTTTGCGCTGACAGCAATTTGAGAAAGAGCTGCAGCCAACTATGCTTCTGGACAAGACTGCCCACAAAGAAACCCTTTATGATGTTCTTAGTGTGAAGGAAGATGCAAGCTATGAAGAGATTCGTGCCAGTTACCGCAGTGCTATACTCAATTTACATCCTGATAAATTATTGAAGACATCTGAGATGTCAAGCAGTCATCAAACATCAGGAGATAGATTCCTCACTGTACAGAAGGCATGGGAAATTCTCAGCAATTCAACCTCTCGCTCAGTATACGATAATGAGCTGCGTGGTTCAAGACAGGATGCATTGGCTGCAGATGTTGCAGAAGATGTAAGCTTACAGGATATGATCGCTGAAGAAGCTGGAGAGGCATTGGAGCTCTCTTACCAGTGCAGATGTGGTGATTACTTCACCATGGACTCTACAGAATTGGAGAAAATGGGGTATTCATTGTTGAGGGATGGAAGTGAGATTTCTCTGCACACTGTCGATGCTTTACCGGGGTCAGTAATTCTTCCTTGTGGATCTTGTTCTTTGAAAGCTCGTCTACTGATCAACATCGATGATAACAATTGAATTCATTTACATTGTGGTTTGTGTGATTCATGCCCACATTCTGTGTTTATTGCGGCATATATCTTATGGCATATTGAAAGATCTTCTACAGTAAATGCAGAATGAATTCAAGAGAAAGATATGCTGACCTAGTGAGAATCTAATTTGTTTTAGATCCATGGGCCTTCCTGTGTTTACCTCCTAAAATGGCCTTGTATATATATACTGACAAATTCAGGACCAGAGAAAATTCACAAAGAAAATCATTGTAATCTACCCCAGGCATTTGTGGTTGGGCTATGTTTTTATAATACTCCCTCCGTTTGCAAAAATATTTTTAAAGGAATTGAATGTTAAAAATATAAATTATTTTGTGTTTTGAGGTATAATTATTGTGTTTTTTTTTCCTAAAGTGTCAATAATTAATAAATTATTTTATATTTATTTTAAAGTAAAACGTCCTGTTAAATAGTGATAAATAGAAAAAGATTATGTTAATTTAAAAATAATTAATTATTTTATTAAGAGGTAGGATTTTATTAAAAATATTTTGTATTTTATAATGGGGAGAGTAAGCTCTTATCCTTGGCTCCCTGCACGATCCATACGGTCTAATGTTGGATCCAAATCAGAACAGATATTGTAGGCTCTTACTGGCATCTCAGAACGAAGTAGGAAATAAATTGCGATATGGAAATGCAACAACCCAAATATATCTTGAAAAGTTGAAAACAAAAAGGCAACAGCTCATTACCACCCAGTGATCAAAGGTATTCTGAAAATAAACAAAACTCTTTACCAGCATCACCGCTGAAAAATATTGCAGAGCACGATGATATGATGATTTTCAAAAAAGAATCAAAGTACGGTTTCACTTTAAGGAAGGAGAAAATAGGCTTCACACGTTGATTCAGAATCACTGTTACTCTGTTGGCTTTTTTTTTTTTTTTTGTGATGGTAATTATGAAGAAAAGAGACAAGGGGGATAGTTGTTCCTTTCTTTCTAGTCATAATAAAGAATTGGTCAAATAATCCTTGTAATAGCGTAACTAAGATAAGACAATGATTAGGTGGGTGTTTGTACTTTAGGGGCTAGAAAAGATTAGATATTCGCATGCCTGGGTTTAGATGGATTGTGGATTAGTGGATGTGAAAGGAAAGGACGCATGTGATTATAGGAAAGATTATCTATTTATTACTTTATTCCATTGAAAATGACCATCCAACACATTTTTATGAGATGTGCTGGAGGCACTTGATCCTCATCTTCAATACATTATTGTGTTTTTTTGGGAACAACAATTATATTTACATATCCATCTTCCAACCTCATCATTTCTAGACATGTTTGTCCCCTCACTGTGGGGGGTTTTTTTTTTTTTTTGGGTTACAGAGCACGTTTACATGGATAGAGAGGCTAAACTTGATCCCCATTAGTTTTTCAAATTTGGAATTATGCTTCTATTTGCTATATAGGCTATAGTCTATATCGGATGTGCTATGGAATAAATTAAGTGGTGAACTTTAGATCACTCGTCCTATTCAATTGTCATATCTCGGACTGGTCATTAAGAGGAAAATAAAAATGCCGGATAGAATGGATATGGATTACAAAGTTGTAACGACAATGTTTTACCATATTAAGAGTATCTGGTTATTCTTTCTTACCAAAAATTAAAAAATGAACAGTGAATTCAGATTTTATTATGTGAATGGATTAATAGAGCACTCGTTTATTATAAACTATTGATTGATAACAAATTAAATCTGAATTTTTACATGATGGCTATTACAAAATCGAATTTTTATGGTATTACATTCAAACCTGTTAATCAATAATAATATGAGATTTATAAATGAATTAAAGTGATTTGAACAAGTCCTTAATTTTGGCCAAAAAAATAAAAGAGGGTTGTGGATGTAAGCTGCTTTGATTTGGGTTATAATGGTAGTCATTCTGCCTTTTACAATGTTTAATTTGTGCTTTCATCTTAATCAGTTATTTTTTTCTCCCTTCAACTTTTTATCATATTTTGGTTTACTAGAGTTAGAATTTTAACCTGCATACCTTTTTTTCTTTTTTTTTGGGGATGAATTGAACCTGGATACATATGTTTTCCCTTTTAAGAAATGTTTGCAAGTGGATCTTCTTATTTTTGCTTGAATTCCTATTTCTTTGATAACAAAATAGAATAAATATTATATAGTAGAAAAAATCACTTTCTCTTACATAGACATGCATAATTAGTGCTAAATTTTGTTATTTAAATATGTATTACTGCAGTTAAATAACAAGCAGTCTTATCTTCTAAAATATTATAACGAGAGGGAAAAGGAACGAAGAATAAAAATGTGTATAAAGTATAAAATCAAAATCAAGCACATAATGGAATCACGATGGTAAAAGAAGAAACATGCATTGAGAAATGATGACAGAAAATCTCAAAAAGAGGTGCTTGAAAGCTTAGGGAGAAGCCAACGATGTTGTTTCCTTCACAATCGAGAATCCAGCAGGCACACGTATGGTTATGACAAAAATAGAAGAAAAATAGAAAAAAGGAATTATTAAGCGATTGGATCTAATAGGAATGGTTAGTTTTCTCTTACCAATTTCAGACAATCACTCCACATTTCTCGTACTAGCTAAAATTGAACCATGCAGGCTAATTTAATATGTAACAAACAACTTCGGTTTTAAGTGATCAAGAACAATTGTTTCTTCTTTCTTTTTTCATAACACGAAAACAATTGTTTCTAATGATGAATCAATAAATATAGAAATATTTAATTTAGATTCTAAATTATAGGTTCATAAACAATTTGAATATTAAACTCGTATTTCATAGATTCGTAATCCTAAACAATTAAATTTAAAATAATTTTACTTTTATTATTAAATTAAAGCAAACGTTCATTACTTTTAAAAAAAATGGGGGGTTTGATGTACAATTTTACTTAAATTTCACTTCCCCCTCTCACCTTGCACCGGAGGAAATTGCACACTAGGTCCCTTTTTTAAAAAACAATAATAGATTTTTAATTGAATTTAATGATAAGGTGAAATTATCTCAGATATAATTGTTTAAGGTTTAGAATGTATCAATTATAAGTTAAAAATTTAAATCAACTCTAAACTTATGATTTAATGTTTAAATTGCATATTAATCCATAAATATATGAAGGATTTTGGCAAAGTATATGTTGACTCATGTTGCCAAAACAAAAGAGAGGGAGAGAAGAAAAGTACATGCAAAACATTAAAATGAGTACATTATATAAGGGGAAAAAAAGGAAAAATATATGGACTATTAATGCCAAAATCTTATACAATAAATGAGTCTATAATCAACTCATAATTACAAGATTCTAACATAATACATATACACTACAAAGTATATTTTGGAACGGTCAAGTATACATCATCATTTTTTTTTTTTGGTGGATAGAAATATATGGTCAATTTTTACTGATTGAGAAATATTATGGTAACTTATCTTGGAAATATAACCTTCTCCGAGTAGCCTAGAAGGGAGGAAGATTCAAATGTTACCCTAACCTCAAAGGCCTCTATATCATTTCTTCATGAAAACAATATTTTTATATTAATTATCTCCATTGTTCTTTTTTTAAAAGTTGTAAATCACTAAATCTTGTATATGCAAGAGAATCACTTTTTCACCAGAAAGAAGATACCGTAATCAATAATGACGGACGTCTCTGTTTTTTTAATCGTAATAATGAGGGACATCATACATGCATATTTTATATGACTTTCTAAAAATAATGATGTATTTCTAAAATAACGAATTCAGGAAAGAAAACAACACAATATGAGCGAAATGTTTGTCGTTAGATATTGAACAGAAAAGGGAATAAAATGGCGTATAAAAAGTGGCTCGCACAGAGGTTGTAGCAGAGCAGAGAATTACCAGAAGCAGAGACGATGAAGATGAGACTAGGAAGCAGAATATGGCTAGTGGTCGGGCTAGCCACATTCATAACAGTGATGATGGCGACAGTCGAACCATCAGAGTACCTGTTCGGGACAGAGTACGAGGTTCGAGTGATCAACGGTTTCAGGAACAACTCGTCGCTGCCACTAGTGATATGGTGTTCCAACGACGAAGCCGATCTCGGAGGCAGAGCCCTTCAGGAACACGACGACTTCAGCTGGAAGATGAAGACCCACTTCTGGAGCAACAACCTCATGAAGTGTACCATGAAATGGGACAAAACCAGAAAGAAGTTCGACGCTTTTAAGGCTTCCCGAGACGCCCATCGCTGTGGCCCTTTCAAGATGTGCTCTTGGCTCGTCACCGAACATGGCTTCTACTTCAGCAACGATCAGGTCAACTGGTACAAGGACTTCGAATGGTGATCACGATCCTTCGCCTTCACCTTCACTTCCTCCATAAAATGTGTTATATATCTTATGTTTTATACTATACTAAGCCAGGAATAAATTATAAGGTTTTGTTTTGGCGAGTCTTCAGTTTCTTTCTTTGTTTTCTGCAACTTCCTGTGACAGTTTTTGCATTGAGGGAATGAATGTTAAGGTTTTGACTTTCTATGATCCGTCGTACAAAAAATGTCTGGTTTGAAGCTTGCTCTGTTATCTCTAACCTACCTCTCAACGAAGGAAAATCAAATTGCTATAGATTCAAGCGCACTTAATCATTCCTTATAAGTTTATTGCATTTCCACGCCGTTTTGCACTTTTTATTTCATACAAATCCCCCTGTCAAAAAAATCCACGAAGTCTTCCTTCCACATCACAGAATTACTGGTTCAGAATCAGGCATCAAGTGTTTTCAAAAAAAAAAAAAAAACAAGAAGAAGAAGAATTAACCATCAATAATATAATGTCCAAATAATGAAACAATTAAACTAAGGATTTAGCAAATAAAAGAGGCGGTCAGAATTTGTGTGTATGGTGAAAGTGGAATGGGAATACATACAAGACACAAATGACGGTTTTATCCCTATCCATCCATATTAATTGAGACTGCACAGTATTAAATCATTCTTACCAATGCCGTTTTCATGTACATATCAAATCATTTTTGCCAATGACGGTTTTACGTTTATATCAAGAATGCCTTCACACATTCTCATTTAACATAGCTACTCATCTCACAACTCGAACCCAGAAAACATGAGGGTATTATTATCATCTCGCCCATACTAATTCACACCACTCTGTGTGAAATCATTCTTACCAACAATGATCTCACTTACACATCATCAACCATGTCTATCTTTAATATTTTTATTTAACACAATTATATATTTCAAGATTCAAATTTAAAATTTAAAATTTCAGAATAAGTTGATTTAATTTTTTTGGCCAGTCAAACCAAGTGCGACTTAATCACACGCCTAATCATTCGACAGAATGCCCACTGTTCAAAACCCACGCAAAAGCACATAATATTAAATAATATTATTTAAGAATAAACAAGTGGCTCTCACAAGTTGCCTAGCACAACAGTAGAATATATCACAATGCGGATACATGGGGTACAAAAACCCCACACACACACACACACGGACATCAAATCTTTTGTTTCTCTATGTATAAATTGTAGAATGCATGTTGAGATACGCGAGCACATAGAAATGTCTGTCAGGCTCAAAATGATGAGGAAGACAGAAAATTTGTTAATTATTAATTAACAAATGGGTGTTGTGGTATTTATTTATTTGGTTAGGGAGAAGGCTGGAAGTGGAAATCTTGAAGGGGCATATCAAGGAATCGTTTGAAAGGTACAATGCCACACAAAGTAAGCTTCATAATTTGGTGGGATATGATATGATGGACTCCTTCTTGTTATCTCTTATATTTTATTTACACAAATTACTTCCCTTTTGAACTACCACTGTTCGTGGTCTTAGTGTCCTTGGCTTTCAATATATAATGTGTTACTTGACACTATCATGATTCAAAATTGCGTGAACTAGCAGCTAGCTGCTGGATCCAGCGCTAGCTGTTTTGGATTCTAAAACTAGCTGAAGTAATCACCTTTTAAATATGTAAGTCTAAATCTTGCTAATCTTGACACGGAACTGAACTTGCTTAAACTTTTTGTTTGCAAGAGAAGATAGGTAATAGAGGTTAATTCAGTTAAAAACAAATTAGCGTACGTACAAGACTGAAACTTTTGGACGTGCAATATTATAGAGAGGTTTATCATTTATGGATGGAAATATGAAGAGGGAGAAATTAGAAATGGTATGGACTGTGGAGAAGACCTGTTACTCTAGGACGAAGCATTATTTGAAATATGATGATTGGTCTCATATTGGGGGGCTCTTTATAAATCAATTGTGGGATATGTACAGTTTGATCATTGTTCGAACAGTACGTACTTAGTGGAGACTTGAGACTTGTTATTTCGTTCCCGCACACTTTGACACAACATAAAACAAACGACTTTGGCCATACAAGAATGCACATCCTCTTCAACCAATTCAGGAACAGTGAAACCTACTTTAGTATTTGTTTTTTTCATATAGGACAATGTTTTCGCATAACTAGGTGTCCTTCTTTGTTATTTTCCTTTCGCACTTGTCCATATTTATTGCAAAGAATCTAATCTACCTTCACAGATCTAGTGATGTGAAAGTACATTGATCATCAACATAGAATTTGTACAAAGAGGATTGTTTATCAGGTTATAAATAGATGAGTTTTATATATATATATATATATATATATTTTGGTACAGTTGTAATAGCAGGAAGGAGGTTAACATGATGGGAAAAAAGAGACTCAGGAGTGGAGTCTCGAGTCTCAAGTGGAAGGAAGAGAATGTGGGCCCGACAGTATCATGAGGAGTGGTGGAGTCATGCATCAATTAAAAATGGATTACAGGGCGAAGCGATTTGGCGATATAAGATTATATAATAGACAAGGATGTAGAAGAAAGGGACAGAGCAGGAGCAACAGGGGGAGGGATGGAGACGAATGAGGGCTGGCCGCTTCATCTATGGCCTCCTTTCCTCTTTCTCTTTCTCTCGCCACTCTCTTCTCCGCATCCTCATCACCACATTATCTCTTCTCCCCCTAATTAAGATGCAGTGACGTGGAAGGAGTGATAATGGCCCAGTCATGCATCACGTGGGCTTTCTCTGGCCCAATTATTATTTTGGATTTGGAAGATTCTGCCCAATTGACAAATGCAAGGCGTGCTTCTTGCTTGGAATTGCGATTTCACTGGGCACATTTACTTTCCTTTTCCCCGCCGATTCCATACATCATTACTATTTAATTGCATTGAACGAAGTTAAGTATCAAAAGAGGCCGATTGCTTCCCATATCATACAAATCAAAATGTACAGGCACGTTGATTTGGTTTCCTAATCTCTCACGTAACAAGACCCCGGGGCGAGCAATAAAAATCAAAATGTTCCTTTGAAATTTATACCAGGCTCCTTCAATGTTGTAGTCGCAAACTTTGATTTGTCTAAAACCGTGAGCAAAAAAGAAGAGAAATGCAATTAATGCACAATAGAATCAATAATGGGATTCACGGAACATGAATATATTAACTGTGAGATTCATGAATTCATCATAAATAGGTACATGAAGGCCGTCAAATGAGTATGATAAGCGCAAAAATGAGGATGACATTAGGAGGGAGGGGTGGATTGTGGTTGATGTGTGTGGTTGTGGCTGGCATGAGGAGCTTGAGAGAAAGCGCATCATTTGAGATCGACATAGTGAGCGAGCTGCCCAGAGAGAGCAGTGAGGCGCTGGGGGTCCGGTGCGGGGACGAAGCCATGTCAAGCCTGAAAGCAGGAGAGCACCACAAGGTGAGGGTCCTCCATTCTGACAAGGTCGTCACTTGCACTGCCCTGTGGATGCAATATTTCACGCAGTGGTGGGAACTTTATAATCACACCAGAGACGCTCCTCATCGCTCCATGTTTTGGTCCGTCCGACAGGATGGCTTCTGTCGAACCTGGCATGCTTCCTCTCCCTCGCAAAAGCTCCATGTCTGGTTTACTGATTAACTCCTATGTCTCTCTTCCCAATTATCATTATCATTATTCATATAATTATGTGTTTTACATGCATTCTCTCTCATTTACCACCTTCCTTCGACCTTCGCTTCTGCATTTTTGATCCAGCCGCGCAACTAGCTTGTTATCGATCGGTAATATATATTTTATTACTTCACCAGCCAATCTTGCCGTGTTCAAGTATACACCTATGCTCCCTTTAATTAGTATCATCCTTTGTCCACTGATCATTATTCGGTGGTTACTGCCCTGTGAATTTTTTCATTATTTTTTAATACTTTTATTAGAAGGAGAAATTAAAACTTGAATCGACCTGCCAATATCAACGTCCGTATCTCATGACGATCACGAGATCTTCGTCTTCCAACGTAACGCTTTTTTATTTCCATATCTTGGTTTGGTTTATAGCAACAAGTTAAACAAAATAATTAATAAGTAAATGAGAGTTAATAAATAAAGTAGAAAATTTTTTATATTAATTTTTTAAAAATAATTTTATTATTTCTTTTAAAAATTTAATGTCAAATCAGTGTTTTTAAATTATTTTAAAAATTTAAAGGTTTTGAAATATAAATAAATTTGATCAAGAGTATTTTGTTAAAATTCTTCCAAACAAAAAAGAAGAGGTGACTAAAATTTTTGGGGAGCGCTTAGTTAAGTCATGTGATAAAACGTACCAAACTGTGAGTAATTACAAGAAAGCCCGCATGTGACGACTCTTAAATGCTATAATTAAGAAATGACATCCACTGACGCCAATTGCAACTTCAACGTCAACGTCAAAATAAAAATAAAAATAATATTAACAGGGCTCAATTTCAAGAATACTAAAGCTGCTTGTTTTGTAACTAGGAGCACTTAGATTAATTAATGAAAGTTGTTTCAGTTTAATTAAAAATTTTAAATTTGAGTTTTAAAAATGCAGCAGTGTAAGTGATAAAAAACACCTACCTTTATGATGCTTGTCAGGCCTGAATTTAAATTAATTTGAGCCTCTTTAAGTTCTCATGACTCAAGTGAGGCAAGCTCCAGATGCGGAATGCTCACACAAACCCGAAAAAAGCCACATGTTTTGTTCTTTTGTTTTGTTATTTAAATAAAATAATGCAGTACCCCAAAGACACTGCATGCCTAGGATTTAGCAATTAGCATGTCATATCAAAAATGAAGCATGTCGTATAATTTGGTTGCAGACATGGTGAGAGGGACATTGATTTGTTAGGGGTTAGGGAGGCTCCGCTTTCCTCAACAGTCTCTTCTCCATTCTCATATAGTCACGAGTCACTGAAACACCACTCAATTACGTTACTTGCTCTGCTTATCTTTTATACACACACACACACACACACCTTCTCTTTCTCAAATAAAATTAGTCGCAATATGATTCTGCAATCATTATTTTTTAAAAAAGAAAAAGATAATACAACTATGTATCAGACTGATTTTCTGATCACTTTTCAACACTACTCATCTACGCTATGTCCTTCGCTCAGGCACAGTCCATAATTCACCAGTATATTCTGTGTCCCCAGAGCCTCAGAAAGATATTTCGGTATATATTTTGTTTCGTTCATCGGTATTCATTCAATGTTTAATATTTTATCCTTAAAAAGAAAGTTCGCAGATTTGAACAGGTGTACTGATAAGCACTCCGATGTTACTTCTCAAGGAAAACGACCCGTCCAATCACCAATTGCAACACTCTTTAACGGCTAATTAATTACATTATCTCTCCTCCATTCATTGAACAATTCCATCTCCGTTAACATTGCACATTAGTCAAACTCATTAATGTTCCAAAATATTTTATACATTTCAATCTTGTTACCTTTATACTGCTTTTTTTTCCACTGGTAATGGTGTTTCTCTCTGCTGCTCAACTGGCCACTGCAGGCATGTTCACATTCCAAGCAATGGAGAACGTGCACAGATGAATAAGGAATGCTAACAAACAAAAGAAGAAACTATTTGAAAAGGGAAACTTGAGCCTTTTGCATGCATTGTATATATTGCAGATATACTCATTGAATGTGTTAACGGTAATGCCAAGAGAGGTTTTCTTTCGACACACAGATATTGCAAGTCCATAAGTAAAAAACTTCCCTATAATTAATTACCAGCAGAGAAATTGAATGGGAATCTGATGAGGACCAGGGATTATCCAGGGGCTTACGTTTTCATCCAACAGAGTGACATGTGGTTGGAGAGGAAGAAAGGAAGTGAAATGAAAAGTTACAGAGAAGCGTCCCCACATGTGATTGACTTGTCTGATTGTCCACCAGACCACCACCTGCTTGGCTACAGTCTTTTACATTCTGTTGTCAAACGTAATAATATGGTGATGATCACTTTATCATTTCAAATAAACCCCCCCTTCTCTCTCCGTGACCATACTTGTGAGCATATCCCTCATTCACTCTCATTCTTGCATGATTCCCATCTCTCTGACTCTCTCCTTGGTTCATGCATGGTGAGCATATGCAACATCAGCATCATCACAGTATACCTGTACTTCTTTTAGGTATGCGTTCCAATGGAGTTTCTTGATTAATTAATCGATCATTTGTTCGAGTCAACTATATCAAAATTAAATAGTTCCTCTATTGTACACTCATTCTTTCTTGTTTATCTATCTCAAACATCTTGTCTTGACTTGGTTTTATTCTCTATTTTTCTGTCTTAACCTTCAATAATTTGTCATTATATATTTTTCTCTGTCAACCCTCTGCACTCCTCTCTCTCTATATATATGTGCCTCCCTAACAAGGATCCACTAAAGCAGTACTCCTCCGCAACAATTGCTGGATATACAGATAATTAACCAGAGAGTGTGTGTGTGAGAGAGATGAGTCGTGGAGGTTCATCAAGATGGTGCCCAACCCAGGAACAGCTTGTGATTCTTGAGGCGATGTACAGAAGTGGGATCAGAACTCCAAATTCCTCCCAGATTCAGCATATCACAGCTCAACTTTCTTTCTATGGGAAGATAGAGGGCAAGAATGTTTTCTATTGGTTTCAGAACCACAAGGCCAGGGACAGACAGAAACTTCGCCGGAGATTGAACAAGCAACTTCAGCTTCTGCAGCAGCAGCATCACCAGCTGTGTAACTATTACCTTCAGCTTCATCTGAATCATCACAACTATAATAATCTCCACTTTCACTGCCCTATGGAGTCTGTTGGTGCTGCGTCATCTTCTCAACAATATTCCTCTTACAACTCCCTTGCTTCGTTTTCATCAGAGGTTACGTACCCATACATCTCTACTTTTTTTTTTAATCCATTTTATCAACTTTGGCTAGCTAGTTATATTAATGACAGCTTCTGATGATAATATGTGCGTGTAAGAATAGGGAATATTTTCCCCCTTTTAATCTCTGGTATAAATATGTTATTATAACTCAAAAGTGTGAGGGGAGGGAGGGAGTTCGGTACTCAAACTTACGTTGGCTTTGTTTGAAAGTTAAAACTGCATGTATTAATATCACTTGGACTAAAAGTCAAAAAAGTCTGTGAGTAGCTTAAATGGTTCTACCCTGATTAAGAGAGTTTTCGTTGATGATTTTTCATAATATATACTTTATTATATACTCCTTTTCAAACAGGGAGGAGCTGGAGAAGCATCAAAACAAGGCATAAATTGCAAATGGAAAATTGAAAATGCAGAAGGAGTGATGGAGAAGACGTCACTGAAGCAAGAATGGAGGAGGAAGATGGAAGTAAGCGGTCCAGGTGCTTCATATTGGCCTACAAGAACCCTCAAGACCCTTGAACTTTTCCCAATCAGGGAGAGGCTCAAACAAGTGTGATCCGTATCCACACATGAAAAATCTCGTGACTCTCTTTAACTAGGATCTGTTCCCTTCTGATGGCCTGCATGAAACATGCCATCACTTTGTCCTGAAAATATTTTGTCTTTGACTATTGCGTCTTAGTTTTTGTTCTGTCTGGTCTGGTTTATGCAGTATTCTGTATATGACTGTGTGAGGAAGATCTCAATTGTTGAATGAGCAGCTTACAGTATTTGCTTTTGTCCTTTTTAGTCCCAAGTTCCTGTTTGTACCTTTTTGTTTCAAAAGTCTATCCTGTTGGGATTTTTCGTCTTTGTTTCTTCCAGTGTGCACGCACAGCACAAGGCAACGCAGACACGCGAATGTTGAAACAAATTTATTTAATTTTTCCTAAAAGGGAACAAAATAACGAAACCGCCCACCGTGGGGTTCGAACCCACGACCACAAGGTTAAGAGCCTTGCGCTCTACCGACTGAGCTAGACGGGCTTTGAATTTAATTGTGAGCATAAAATTATTTGGAGTATTTTTCTGAAAGACAATTTCTATTCTTCAATTTCAATCTGGACCATTTTGTCTTGACGATTTGGACGACCTTCATTTTATCTTCTGGGAATTACTTTTCATTTCTTTTGAGAGAAGAAACCTTTGCATTGGAAACTATTTTTCCTTAAATTTAATTAAATGATAGGGCAGTAACTTTTTTTTTGGGCCAATGCAGAGAAGTACTTTTACATTAAATTGAAATACATTAACAATTTTTTTTTTGTATATTTTGTCTTAATCATGTAGTCAAAGTTTTAGAGGCCATCCTGACCCCTAAAGGCTAACTTGGTAGTCATAGGTTTTGTTTTGTTCTAGTTGAATCATGATATTTATATTCTTTTAACTTATAAAAGTGAAAAAAAAAAAAGTAAGCTATCTTTTTTAGAAGTTTAACAATATAATAAATTTTTATTGAGATATGTGAGATAATTATAGTTAGAATAAATGTACATTTTTATTTTTGATGTATTTTTTAAAGAACATTCAGCACTCTAATATTTTTATTAAAATAATTTTATCTTTAAAAGTATTAAAACTATTATTTTTATCAATTTTTTTATATTAACTGGGTACTCTTCAAAAAATATCTTAACAATAAAAATAAACTTTAATCCTTATTAATTACCTTATATTTGGGATCCGAAAAGTATCTACGGCCAACTATACAATATGACTGGCATGAAGTCAAAATGCAGCGCCCCCAACGTGTTTTATATGTATATAGTTACTCTGCATATTATAATGCATTTAATTTGAACGTCCAATATGCATTTAAGTGTAAGCGTTTAATTTTCCATGAACATTAATTAACATTCAAGAAATAAATGATAACATTTATTTATATAGTACTCCTTCCGCGTTAAGTTATAAAATATTTTTATACAAAATCTCATATATCAATAAATTTCATTAAATATGTTTAAAAACTTTATTTTTTTAAAATAAAAATATAAACTTTCAAAACATTCTTCATTAAATACATTGAAAAGAAAAGAGAATAGAAATTAAATAGAGAAAAAAGATTAACATTATAATAAGTCTATTTAATAAAATTTTAACAATTTTCTTAAAAATTTTTATATTTTAAGACATCAAATTTTTTTAAAAATATTTTATAATTTAAAACAAAGGGAGTACAAATATACAATTGCTTCATATAATCATGTGTCGCAAGAAACCCTCCTTCCTTATTAATTATGAGAGATAATGTATTACAAATTTTAAAAAAAATTATTTAAATATAAATAAAATTGAAAATTCATTTTATCTACAAACAAAATTAATAACTTAACTGTCTTTCTTTATTCTGAGAAGGTGGTTGAAAGTACATGCCTTATAATAGAAATAAGAAGAAGTACATCATCTTCAGGGACGAACGTAGAAACCAACACATGGGGGTAAAAATGAAAGCTATTTAAAATATGAGGGGCCTAAGACAAATTTTCACATTTTTTTGCAACTAAAATAAAAAATGTCCCAAAATTTTTCAAAGCACCAATTATACTGCGGAGGGCAAGGATCTCCCGCCCCTTACAGCCTGATCATTTTAAGTTAATTAATTATTTTTAAAATTATATATTTTTTATGTTTATTTTATTTAATATGATATCTCAATTAAAAAATTTTATTAATTACACCAACTAAATTAAGATTTTTTAAAAATATTTTATTAATTTTACCTTAAAAAGTTTAAAATGCCTATATCTTTCAACATTTTTTTCAAAAAAATGCTGTCTACTCCCTCAATCCTAAATTATAAAATACTTTTAAGAGAGATTTAATATTTTAAAATATAAAATATTTTGATAAAAATAAAATTTTATTAATAATAATTTTTTAATATTATTTTTCTCATTATATTCTCTCTTTTAATTTTTTTATAAATGAAATATTAAATAAAGATTATTTTTAAAAGCTTGTTTTTTTTTGAAAAAAATAAAGCTGTAAAGTATACTCAGGGAATTTTATTAATGTGTATAATTTTATTTAAAGGTATCTTATAATTTTGGGTAGAGAAAGTATTTCTTAAGGGAAGCAATAGATACATATATACTCCCTCTAAACCAAAGTATAGAACACTAGTAACTAATTCATGATCTTTAAAAAAAAATTAGTTGAAACCTTAACTTTAAAAAAATTATATTTTTTTAATTTTACCCTAATTAAATAATGCATCATTTTTTTAAAAAATAGTAATTAATGAAGTAAGGGTATTGTTGAAAAAATAATTATAAAAGCTACCTAATGATCTATATTTTGAACAAATTTAAAATTATAGAAGATACTTTATATGAGGCGAAAATATATAAAGCCCTCCTAAACTTTAAAATAGTTATATGTAACCTCACTAATATTTAAAAGTTTAAAATTAACCCTCATGATTTTTAATTTTTTTTTAAAAATATTTTATTGTTAATTATGTTATTTTTTTATGAGTGTTAAAATATCATTCAATTGAAAAATGCTATTAAACAAAAATATTATATTATATAACTATTTATAATAATTTTTTTATATTTTTTGAATGGTTGAGGCATTAATAATAGCCAAAATAAATGTTATTATTACCATAAAAATTTTAAATATTTACTTTTGTATTACTTTTTTCTCTTTTTTTGTTATCATTGGTGCATGGTTTTCTAGCATTAAAAGATAAATTAATCTAATATGTTGATATTTAAAATTTTAAATATTTTAGCAATGTGAATTTCACTAATCTAACATGAAAATATAAATAAAAATTTATATTTTAAAATAATAAAATCATGTACCATTGATAATAAAAAAATATGGATAAAACTTATATAAGCATAAATATTTAAAATTTTATATAGTGATAATAACTTTTTTTCGTTATCATTGCCTCAACTATTTAAAAAATATAAAAAATTTATTATAAATAATTATACAATATAATATTTTTTAGTTAAATTATATTTTAACCCTCTTGAAAAAAATAACATAATTAATAATAAAAAGTTTTAAAAAATAAAATTAAAAGTTAGGAGATTAATTTTAAACTTTTAAATATAAAGAGATTATATACAACTGTCTTAAAATTAAGAAAAATTTTATACATTTTAGCTTTCATATTATAGTCTAAAAGAGGTAATGCATTTAATTTTAACGTCCAATATACAATATACATTTAAGTGTAGGTGTTTAATTTTCCATGAATATTAATTAATAGACAAAAAATAAATGATAACATTTGTATGTATTCCCTCTACTTCTTTTTATAAGACATTTTAAATATATTTTATCAAAATAAAAAATTTTAAAACTTATTAATTTTATTTAAAAATTTAATAAATTATTAATTTTGCTCCTTTTAAAATACTCCCTTTTATCAAAAATATAAATATTTTTCTTTCGTAAAATTCAATTCAAAATATAAGTAGTCTAACATATATAAAAAATATTTTTTAATTTGCTCCTTATATTTACCAACCTAAATATTTATATAAATATTTTTTTTGGCCTGAATATATAAATATATATATTGCTTATCATGAAGTGTACTTATAATTGAAACTAGAAGTAAAAAAAAAAAAAAATACATATATATATATATATATATATATATTATAAAGAGGACCGAAGTAGAGTTCAAAAGTATAATTGCTTCAATCATACGCTGCATCATCAAATTAACATCCACAAGGATCAACATCATGTGTGTGTGGGGGATCTTCCCCAGAGGTGTGACGCCGATCCTGTGTATGGCGGTGATCATACTGATGGTAGTAGGAGCAGCCCCCCGCGGTGAAGCAGCTTTTAAGATTCCAAGAAGAACAGTGAACATGGCCAACGATCTGGGACGCGGTTTAGATCTCACCGTTCATTGCAAGCAGAAGGGTGAAGATCTGGGAGAGCATCTTCTTCATCCTAATGAAACCTACGAGTTCACTTTCAGGCCCAACTTCTGGGGCACCACCCTTTACTTCTGCCGCTTCTATTGGACCGGCGCTTCTAACTGGCTCGTCGTTTTCTCTATGCAGAGGGATCATGACAAGTGCCCCGTTGGCTGCTTCTGGAAAATCAGGCAAGACAAGGCCTCCAGGCTTAGCATCAAAAGCCATGCCTTCGACGATTGCTTTGACTGGACACCAGCTACCTTTATCCCTCATCTTTCTTAATTACTTCTGCACTGCAACTTCATACCTAATTCCCATTACTTCAATTTTAATACATCAAAATCTCCTCCCCCAATCCTTGATTTTTTCACATTTCCGTCCACTTTTCTTTTTCTTTTTAATATACATACACATATAATAATTTGTTGATTGGAATTAATTGAACGATCCAAGACTCACTAACGGAGAGCATAATCCGAGACACAGGTCCAACAATGATGGTATTGCCAACTGTACAGTAATTCAATGTTACTATACTGAATTTCCATAAGAAAATTACATGACCTGAAATTAAGCAATTATAATAATGGCCGCTACAGAGTAACACCGGACTAGGCTTGGCAACCTGCCATTATATATACTCTAATGAAAGAATGTACAAGAATCACATCTATTTTCTCGGGTTTTGACGACAACAATGAGCTGGTCAGCAGAAAAAAAGAATGATCTTTCGTTTATAAAGTTGAGACAAAAAGTTCCCGTTACCTCACGTACTCTCTTGCTCGTCGTCTTCTTTGGAAGCAAGATTCTCAAACTGAGATGGAGAAGTGGCCAGGTTTCCTTCTCGCTCGTTGGATTCTATAAGCATCAACACGACCTGGCGCATCGATGGCCGATCAGTAGGGTTCATGTTTGTGCAGAGCAAAGCAATTTTTAGAACGGTGAGCATGTGGTTCACGGTGGTTTGATCTTGGAGATTGAGACGATTGTCGAGCACACCAGACGACAGCTTGTTGTTATGGCTCCGAATGTAGTTTTTGACCCATGTCACCAGATCGCCTCCTTGCTCTAGCGGCTGAACCGGAGTTCTTCCTGTAAGCAGCTCCAGCAGCACAACTCCATAGCTATAGATATCACACTTCTCAGTGACCTTCATGGTGTATGCATATTCTGCCACACGGCATCATAGAGACATCAATACACAACAATTGACAGACAGGTAAGAAGTTGTCAGCTTCCAAATTTGAAACGCAAGATATCAAGGATTGCTGCAACTCAAAAATCTAAACAAGTGAATTAAGACCCATCAATAGATTTGTTTTCATATTTGACACTTACTCTCGAGTAAACATAACATTCAATTTTCAAGTGCAAGCAACGCAATTGTTTAGTTTATCCTGAGCTGAATTACAAAGAATAGAGGCAGAAAAGAACGAAGTCCACACTTAGCTAACAAATTTCTTCTAATTATTTGAGAAACTTGACTCGATCTTCATAGGAGTGAAACAAAGGCCTCATTTGATATATCTAATGGAAAAGGATAAGGAATTCATTACACGAAAATAATGATATGTAGTGGGCCCTAAGGTTCGCGGTGACATGTTTTAGAATTCTATCCAAATATTTCCACTCATTCCACTGACAGAGTAAGAGAAAGTCTACTATTATTAGAACAAGTCCTTTTAAAATCTAATCTCGGAATATCACATGCATGACGTGCGGTTATGTGTTGGTACATCGCAAGGTAATGCGTCAATTATCTTTTGCCAACACATTTGATAGGAGAGATTTAAACATAGAAGGTGAATTTCATAAGCCCGAAGTGGAGCTGTATCATATCCATATATAAGTTAACAGAGATATATAGCATCATAAATTAGTGCCCAACAAGACCTTCTTTTCCACCATTTTTCGGATACACCAGGGCAATTCATCTATGCCAAATAAATGGTGGAGTGATCAAATATGTTCTCTCATCAATGCCAGAGAAAGCTATTTCTGAGTTAGAAATTTTAAATTTTACTGAGCAAAATTCAAGATATGGATATTATAATGTAACTAACTAGGCAAAACAAATATAACGAGAAATAAAGACAAGATAGGAGCTTACCAGGAGCAATATAACCATATGATCCAGCAACTGCTGACATTGATTTTGATTGAGGCATGTCAATAACTTTCGCCAAACCAAAGTCACCCACGTGGGCCTCAAAGTTTTCATCAAGTAGAATGTTATTCGATTTTATATCGCGGTGAATGATCTTTGGTTTGCAGTCATGATGCAAGTAGGCAAGACCCTCAGCAGCTCCAAGAGCAATCATGAACCGAGTTGGCCATTCCAAAGTACATGCATATCCATGAAGTTGCTCCCCTAGGCTACCCATTGCCATGTACTCGTATAGTAGGAGATTGCTACCTTGGTGATAGCAAAACCCATACAACTTCACTATATTTCGGTGCCTTATCTTTCCAAGAGTTAATATTTCAGCCCGGAAGCTATTCTCGATGTTGTTCCCTTCCCTGTTGGATGCTAACTTCTTAACAGCAATAGTCTTTCCGGATGATGGCATCACTGCCTTATAAACTGTTCCGCAAGCCCCTCTTCCAATGACATAACTGTCATGAAAGTTGTTGGTAGCTTCAAGTAGATCATGGAAGGTGAAGCCATCTTTTGGAGGAAAATAGATATCTGAATCTGGGGTCGGAATCTCAGAATCCCTCAGCGAAGAAATAGGCTCAGGAGGACGTCTCATAAAATATAAAATGATTACTATTAGAACGAGAGCAACGCCACCAACAACTGTTGCAACAATAGTGATCATCTTGGTGCGAGAAGCATTAACATTTTGCATAGGAGGATCAGAAAGAGAAGATGGATTAGTGTTGCAGCCAAGCAGAGGAGCACCGCAGAGGCCATTGTTACCAACAAAGCTGCTAATTTCCATATTTCCAAATAGTGGAATGGAAGGTATAGGTCCAGAGAGATTGTTGTATGAGAAATTACACCCCATCAAACTTGAAAGGTTTTCAAATGTGCTGGGAATTTCACCACTCAGATTATTATTATTGAGAAGGAGAAACTCAAGCATATAGAGATTGCCCAGCTTATCAGGTATACTTCCAATGAGATTATTGTAACTGAGATTCAATGCAATCTGTAAGCTTGTGAGATTACCCAAATCAGGAGGTATTTCTCCAGAAAGTAAATTGCCACCCATCTGCAATGCAGTCAGACGACGCAGATTACCTAATGTTGGAGGGATATGCCCTGTAAGCTTATTATCTGAAAGCTTGAGAAGCTCCAACTGAGAGAGTGTTCCAAGCTCATCTGGCAGGGGACCAGCAAAGCTGTTGCGGCTGAGATCAAGTCGCTGAAGCTTCTTGCATCTAACAATTTCATGCGGGATAGGTCCAATGAAAGAATTGGATGAAACATTGAAGGTCACCAATTGAGAAAGGTTTCCTATTTCTATAGGCAACTCTAATGTGAAGTAGTTGTTAGCAATATGAAGCCTCTGCAACTTCTGGCACCTCCCGACCTCAGGAGAAATAGGACCACTGAACCTGTTCTGGTTCAGCTCAACGGCAGTAAGGTTCACTAGTTTGCACAGCTGTGAAGGGAAGCCACCAGTAAGACTATTTCCAACCAGCAGTAGCAGTGCCAACGTTTCACAATTCAGGATGCCAGTTGGTATATTTCCATAAAGTCGATTAGAAGCCAGATTCAACAACATCAAGTTCGAATTTCGACATAGATGGGGAGGTATCGTTCCTGTCAAGTGATTGTTAGAAAAATCAACCACCCAAAGAGGACTATAAAGTCCAAGGCTCTGGGGAATATTTCCAGTTAGAGAGTTGTCATTAAGTTGCAACTGAGACATTCGAGTCAAGTACTGGAACCCCCACGGAACTGGACCGGTGAGATTATTAATGGACAGGTCCAGCCTTGTCAGGTTCCTTAAGCTACTAAACTCGTTGGGTATAACACCGGATAGCTCGTTTTCAAAGAGAAAGAGCAAGTGGAGACCACTTATTTTGCTGATCTCAGGAGGAATATCTCCCACCAAAGAGTTTTCTGAGAAATCAACTTCTAATGCCAGAGAAAGATTCCCAATCGTCCTTGGAATGGTGCCATTCAATTTATTTCTGTAAAGGTACAACCTCCCCAGAGACTTGAGATTCCCAATCTCCTCAGGTATAGGTCCAACAAGAGCATTTCCATAGAAAGCAAGGGTTTCAAGGCTGGTACAATTCCCAAGCTCTTTAGGAATAAGCCCTGATAACTGGTTATTCCACAAAACCAGTTCTCTTAAGTTCTGAAGCATCCCAATCTCTGTCGGCAGTTCTCCTCCTATCTGATTTTGAGCAAGGCCAAGAAATTCCATGCTCCTACATCCACCGATCTCACTTGGCAAGCTACCTGACAATCTATTCCCCCCGGCTCTCAAAGTAGTGAGACTCTTGAGATTTCCAATAGAACGAGGCAGGGGACCGGACAGATTATTTGTGTAGGCCACAAGCTCAACCAGCGAAGACAGGTTTCCCAATTCTTCTGGCAGAGAACCTGAGACTATGTTGTTGCAAATATTCAAACGCCTCAGAAGGGAAAGCTTCCCCAATTCAGCAGGAACTTGTCCCCTGAATCGATTATTGTTCAAGAAAAGAAATTCCAAGCTCGAGCAATTTCCAATTTCATTGGGTATATTTCCCATCAGCCCATTGTCGGCAAGATTGAGATAAGTTAGATGCGTCAGACCTCCAATGCTAGGATTTAGTGTTCCGGAAAGATTCATTGAGCTCAAATCAAGGGACCAGACCACTGGATTATAGTCAGAAGTGCAATTTACGCCCGTCCACCCACAAGGTGTTTCATCAGTAGACTTCCAATTCGCCAAATGATTAGATTCGTCATGAAGACTGCTCTTCAGCTCGAGCAGGTGCTGGCCTTCTGTGTTCAATCCTTCTGTGATACAAAGAAGTAAAGTGAATAGCAGTAGAGTTGCCAACGCTCCCCTTTTTTTGAAATTCCCAGACATCATAATTTTTAATAGACCTGCAGATTGATAAACGAGCATTCAAATCCATGACACGGCCCAAAAGCTTTCATATTGCAATTAAAGGAAAGAAATAAACCAGAAACCGTGTAAATCACACACGCAGGCGATTCGTGATTCATTTTGCCTAACCCCCAATTCCATATGTGTCTGTGTGTGTAAAAGAGCCCTTGTAATTTTTTGAAAAATGATTAAATTAGTGAACAACTATTGGTAGTGAATATTAATCAAGGAAGCAATAGCTCAGAATTCAGAGTTGACAGAGACGACAAATCAGGAAGCCATTTCCACATCCAGAGAATCTTAATCAGCATGTCCATTCATTTGAAAGGGAAAGAAAGGAGATGAAGTGAAAGAAAGCCCTGACATACCTATCAAAGTCCACCATAATACCGTTACTCATCAAATAAAAGATAATAAAAGAAGCATCTCCAACACTTGGGATCAACTTTTTGAGAGGGAAACGCCGAGGCCTTGGAATTCATGAATCTGCAGACAAAAATAGAATATACCCAGATTGCCTTTTGGCACAGAAAGTAGGGGATCTCAGACGAGTCAGCCAAGATATTCTGGACAAGAATCCAAACCGCTTTACCGGAGGTCAGAGAAAGTAGAAATTTATTCAGCTCTGGAAATTAAAGGAAAAGGATCGGACGAAGAAGAAGGAGAGGAAAAGGAACGTGGCGTGAAAAAGTAAGAGGAAGTCGTGAAGAGAATGATGAGGAGTGGAAAGGATGTTTAGGGGGGTGAAAGGGGCAGGCAGAGAGGTCCGGGGTGAAGCTGAAATGGCCGACAAAGCATGCTTTAGATTATTTAGAGTTACTTGTGGTGCTGGAAAACTGTCACGCAGGCAGTGAAGAAGGAAATGGGAAAAAATCAACAATGGGAAGGTGTGGAGGAGTAGAGAAAATTGATGGGGACGGCTTGGCTGAAATACGAGCAGGTGGACTGGTGAGCTTGAACGCGTAAGTAGGAATGGCCCTCCGCTTCTTCTGGCCACGTGATCTTTGGAGTGAATCACTCCACATTTATCAATCCCTCCCTCCCTCTCGCTCTCTCCATTCTTCCCTGAGTTCCCTCAGCGCGCAATGATCCGTCAAACCTCCAAAACGCCGTCAAACCTCCAAAACGGGGGCCTCTCATCTAAAATGCACCTTTAAACTCAGCAGTGTTCTTAGTTTTCAGCAATGTATCAACCTCCTCTCATGAACCACAATTGTCATTCAGTTTTAAATAATAGCATGACTTGTTTGTTAGCATAAAAAGAAATTATGTTACTCGTGCTGTGTGTATTAATTCATTCATTATAATAATACCGGAGAAATTACTGGAAAATAAGTAAAGTTAATAACTTTAAAAGGTTGGCAAAAAAACAACTACGAGAAAGACGGCGTAGCGAGTTTACGTGGATCGCACAGAATTAGCTTCAAAACCATGTGCCATGGCGCCATTGATTTCCACTTTGTTTTCAAAAGGCCATTCACTCTTAGTTAAGCTCGATCATGTCTTCACACAAAAATAAACTGAGAGTTATACTCAAATCTTTCGCAACTGGGATTGAATCGCAGGAGGTCTATTCACAACGTAGTACAGTAAAATGAAAATGATTAGTTATTTTACTATGACCTTGACCATGCATGCTTTCAGTTCTTAACCTGCAACAAGAGAATAGATAAGTACTTCGTGTCCTGTTTATAAAATTTAGATTTAGATTTAATATTAGTTAATCATGACGGAGGTCCATGCCGTCTTCATTTTATTGATGTAATTAAATCCTACTTAAAGCTAAAAGGTCTAATTAATTAATATACGTCCATACATACATACATGTATGATCAGATCCAGAGTTGGGAAATCAGCATCCACCAACCCATCATGATGGGGGCGTTGAAAGGTGAGAAGAAGTTGGAGCTCATGTGAATGTGAATGTGAATGTGATGTGGCGTGCTTTTTCTGTGTTGGGCTCACTTTCTTACATCTTCAACACATTTTAATGTGCTTCGTTGAATCAATCCCCATTTTCTCTTTTGCTCTGCTTCTCTTTGTTTTCCCGTTCATTAATTATCTTCACCTATCCATGTCTGATAATTAACTTTCACCTAACATGGGATTCATCTACTAATTATTATCAGAGTCCGTGATCATGAATTTGATTTTTAATTATAAATCACAATTTGCAATAAAAGTCAGAAAAATGAGGACCGCTGTTAAGGACTGTGCCCAAAATCCAGTCCTCACAATATACAGTATTGGATTTGTAAATGAGATCATATCGAAACTTGACTTTTAACTGACACGATCTCGAGCTTTTGGATTATTTTCAAAATTCGTGCCTGAAAATAAAATATCAGTTTCATTAAGATCTGAGCTCATCTCAACGAAACCCTATTAGCTTTTCATTGTATCAAAATCGATTCAAGTGGGTCACTTTTTAACTAGCGTGCTCATCATGCTTACTCTGCATTTTCAATCTTACATCCGGATTTTCAAAACAATTAATTAACTATGTGTACCCACATCTCATAATTTCCGGTTGATTTCCTGGGAAAAGCAATCAAAGATCTGAACCGAATTTTCGGGATATGAGCTCCATACTAAAACAAATCTGAATGAATATCGTACCTACAGTATCTTGTACATTCCAAGCCTCCTGGATTTATCGCTTGGACCCTATTATAATTATTATTTTATTCTAATTCTGCACTGCAAAAAACGCATTTATGTATTAATATCAAATAATCCCCTCCCCACTTCAGCTTAGTTTGAATTTAGTAGGCATGTCAACAAGCCGTATTCTTCTTAAAGTACATCCTGCATTCTTAACAAGCCGCATTGTTCTTAAAGTATAGCATCGTTAGGCTTATTCTTTGATTGATGAATTAATTAACCGGGTAAAGATTGCTGCATAACATAAAGGGTTAAATAACAAAATTATCCATAAACTATAGAAAGAGGAGCATATAACATTATGAACTTATTTTTTATATAATGTTATCACCTTGATCATTTTAAAATGATTAAATTTGAGTGTCAGTTAACAAAAAATTACCAAAAGAGATCTCAAAAATTACAAGAAAGCACTAAGCACTTCTTGGTACTTTCCCCGTAATTTTTTTTTTGTCTTGCATGTAATTTCTAATTCCTTTCTATAATTTTTATGGTATTTTCTTATATTTTCTGATCAATTAATGGTTGAAATCAATTTCTATTAATAGCAAGGGTGGCATTGCATTATTTTAAAAAATTAAAAAAAAAACATTGTGTTAAAAATGAATTGAGGGTTTTAAACGGTTCTCTAAACTTATAATTTAAAGATAAAATTATCCTTCAATCTTATAATAAATGAGGATGAAAGATCATATAAAGTACTTTTCAAATTTTGCTGATCCGATATACATCAATAAATTATTGCATTTGTTATATATATATATATATATATATATCAAGATTCTTAATTAGAATTTTGCTGTGAATTTCACCGCTTCAGTCGATAATTTTTGCTATCTTAGAGAATAAAAAAAATAATAAAGAGAATAGTGGAAGGCCCGTTGGATATATGTGTGTACAGATGGTGGTGGAGACAGGGGACTAGCGAAGTTATCCTCTAACTTTTTAATTCTTTTAAAATAAAATATAATGATTATATATTTTCTGTCCCCTTAAAATATTATATGTATTACTTAATTCATCAATTTATTACAAATAGCTCTTTTTGCTATAAGTAAAGAAGTAATTGATATAACTTCATTTTTTTTCAAAACTTGAGCATGATTGTTAATATTATGTGTTTTTTTTTGTAAGCATAATAATAAATTACAAAATATTTTTGTGTCTTAAATTACCAATTTAGTTGAACATAAAATTCATACAAAAAAAGACTAAGTTGGCATATTACAGTGATTTAGAGACACTAGATGATGTTCTCATTTTAATTTAATATATAATTTTTTATGCATGTATAGTGTAATTGCTTCAATTCTAAAATATATAATTGTGACACGTCTTATTTGGTCTCAACGAAATGATGTTGCATATGCTTGTAAACCATTAATATTATTTGATTTTTGCTTTCCTTCTACATTTTGAAGAAATCAACTACAAGAATTATTAACAAACTTTATTAATTATTGCAACAAAAATTTCAAGATATCTCGAATGCTATATATTTAATATTTATCACAAAACTACTCATTCAAAAGTTAAAAGATTACAAATATGAAGGTTTTATAGAAAAAAAATTACTTATTTTTATAATTAATAATGAAGTTAGTGAAATCACTTATATAAAATGTTTTGCTTTGTAATCTCAATCCCTTAATTAAAATTTATGGCTCCACTCTCATATATAGATAAAAGTATGTGTAAGTTCCTTGCCAAAGAAGTTACAAATGTGGAGTGAAGCTATAAGAGTATAAGTTGCTCTAAGCCGCGTCCCTGTTTTTCTAATTCAATTTTTCTTAGGTTAATCGAAATATAATATACATGCGTATTAATATTTAAAAGCGAACAAAAACTAATTATATGCATGCATATGGACATATATATGATAATGAAGACGTGTATAGGCACAAAGCAAATTGGAATAAAATAATAATCGTGGTGTCTAAAAAAACTAAATATAATAATTTCTATATATAAAATATAACATTAAATCATTTCTTTCTTACCTAAAACTGACTAGGATTCCATAAACCAAACAAAAGGGTCTGGGATAATAGACCATGCTTGAAATTCGAGTACGTTTATTATATATTAATTTCAAGGTGTTTAAACTTTAAAAACTAACTACTCAAAAAAAAAAAAACACACACACACACACAATTTACATTGTTCGATTATGCAAAAGTCAGCAGTAAACTTTAACTTATCATGCCTTGAAATATTGTTAGTTCATTTTAAAAAATACATACATATATATAGTATCATTTTAACTTGCTGTCGGCTAGTTTACTAGTACATTATGTGCAGTTTGCATGTTTAAGTTATAAATAGGGAAAAGACAAAATATTTTAAAAAAAATTAAATTTGCAACGATAGTTATTAATTTAAAAACAATGTTAAATTTTCTCAATATATAGAAAATAGATGCAGTTATTTAAAATAATCAATATAAAAAGTTAACTTTTTACTTTAATATTTTTTATTTCTTTTGATAACCCATATAAAAAGTTTAGAATAATTGATGTAAAAAGTTTTTCATATGATAGTGACTTCTAGCTAAACTTTTTCAGAACTAGACTTCTTATTTATTTTATTTTTTTCTCTTACCTTTGATGGGCAACATGGCAGGCAAATATATTATACGCTTAAAGATAGAGTAATGAAGTTAACAACATCTTCCTTATCCCTTTTTCATTTTGTTTTTTTTTATTATCACCTTGGCCACCCCATGCGTGCATCTCTTTCCATACCATAAAGTCACGGCGTCTAGGGTTTTGCTACGTTTCTAAGCATTGTCTTTTTAATTTATCCCATCCCTTTCTTCACCTGCAATATTTGTTATGGTCAATCTTATCAATCTCTCCAAACAAAATAATGACCGATCCATGGATTTAGATCTCCCAGAATTGACTTCAAGGTCAACACGCCAGCTTATTCTGGGGTGAAAGATTCGGTCTAGATTAATTAATTCACGTTGAAATTAATTTTGATATATCCTACTATATGGTTGTTGTTGATGATGAGATACATATGAATTAGCTTAATTAGTGAACATTATACCCCCAAACATGTGTGGAAGGTTCAGCTTAATTTGCTAGAAACAATAATATAAACAAATATGAGGGCAGGCCATGTGAATAACTGCAAGAGCCGATGGAAAGGCACCGACTTCAAGCAAGTTGCCAGCAAATCTGTGAAATCACACAGACACAGTATCCAATGATACTCGTACTAGCAGTTGGCGTAATGTATGACCTGAATTTTGATAGCCACCAGTTTCAGCTTGGACCATTTCTTTCTTCCGCCTTGCGTATACATTTTTATTTATAAATCATTATTAACATATTTTATCCAGTTAAAAATTATTTCAAATTTTATTAATTCTTTCAAAAAAAATCTAACA